CATTTTATGGACAAAGGGATATTTTATTGCAGGTAAACTCTCAATACATGCATGCAGTACAAAACAACATAAAAACAAATTTAGGGACGAATGTTCATTTAAAAAAACATGAAAGAGCAATTTTTCTTCAAAATGTTGAAGACATGAAAGTACATAATTAGACAGTGTAAATAAACACTTAAAAGTTCCATTAGCTATGTCATAACTTGTCTTGCTAAAGCTACGTCTGTTTCAACCAACTCTCCTTTTGAATAGCAGCAGCTTTCTACATGGCCAGAATTATAGAATTTGTTGAAAAAAAATTCAGTAAATTCTAATGGAATTAGAGCTCTATTTGTAGATTAAAAGCAAAAGTCAAAGACACAAAATCCTGTCAAATTATAAAACAAATGTCCCGTGATCCATGACCTCAGCTTCTGCTCCATGTTCGTCTTCCTTCTCCTTTTTTTCTGTGAGGATTTCCACAGTTTCTTTTCTTTCCCAGAACCGAGTTGGCAGAGAAAAACAAACACACTGTCTCCCAAAAACGTCTCATCCCACATCGCTACATCACCCTGAGCGGGAAGCAGCGTGCAGATGTTTGTTTGAGGAGTTTGAGGGATGCTACCACCAGAAATCAGACCGTTTTTTCCCCCTTCAGCTCCCTCCCTTCTCCAAGCTAAACAGATGAGATCAACGCATCTTTCCTGATGTTGCTGACTCTGTCGTCAGTTAGAAACTTGTGCACACACTATTCAACCTGAAAGAGATTCTTCTTTCCAAAATCTCTTCCATCCACATATGATGATAATCAGAATAATCTGAATACCGTTATTCGTCCCACAGAGGGGAAATTGACATTTGTTACAGCAAGTAAAGAGCCAAATATAGCTTAATATTAAGAAGCATGCATACAAATATTAAGGATAAAAGTAGAAATAACACCATTTACAGTTTACAAAATACACATACAGTGTAACAGTTTTGAAATATAGCAGCCAGGTGAAAGTATTAAAGGTGGAAGTGTACTATATTGAACAGCTATTTACAGTATATATATATTGCACATAAGTAGTATTGCACAACAGGGGTGTTATAGTCTTTGTTGTTGTGTGTGGGGGTCTGCCAGGGATGGTTGTAAAGTGTGACTGCTGCTCTCAATAAATGTGAATTTGTTGAAACAAATCAGAATATGAAAAAAAGGAGCCTTTAAAATATTTGTAAATGTCTCTTTGGCATCAGACAACCAGAGCCACTGTTCCAAAAATGTTGAATTGTTATTTAAGATTTTAAATATTTTGTTATCCTTTAGTGACATCTGCTGGTTTTTAAATGATGGTGAAACGGGCATGAGCTAGAGCAGTGATAATAACAAATTCTCCATCACAATGAATTTAATAAAAAAACAACTTTGTTTTATGTATTTATTTAATACAGGCAAAACAATAGCAAACATGTTGTAGGCCAGAAAGCACAACCATTTAAATATTGTCCCCTAGCTTGAGGCTTGATTAACTAAAATAAACTTAAACCCCTTAACCCATTATTGGCTATAGTTGTTATATATTAAGTTATATATGTACCTAATGAACTATGAATCTTTTTTGTATATGTCTATTCTATGCCCTTTTTTGTTTATTACGTATTTTACTGGTATTGTTGTGAACTTTTTCCCTTACCGGTATGTGCGCCATCATGGCAACATAACAGCCCAGCGGTCAACATGGAGAGCGGCATGACTGAAGTCTGACTGATTTGTTGTATTGCAACCAAAGTGTATCATTATGATGGTTTTGATTGACATAATTGTGTTATATTTTGTTTATTTACGTGTGTGTCCTCACTCCTCAGTGGTTCTGGTTTATCTCTCGGACTGGAGAACAAGATGAGTGATTCAAAAGAGGAGGAGGACACATATTCATTCTCCAGCTGTCTGTCTCTGAAGAGTGACCGGTCTAAAGGAATACCTATATTCTTCAGTAATGAACCTGGACCCTCAGAAACTAATTAAAAGTCTGTTTCTATTGTAAACGGACCTAAAGAAGGTTCATCTTTTATGTTATCTGATCATCTAAACTGCTTTTATTATAATTACATGAGCACAGTACAGTACAGAAACACAGTAGAGTACAGCAGAATAGAAAATGCAGTGAAGTGCATTTAATTATTGCAGTTAAGTACATTGAATACACACTGTAAAGTACAGTAAATATAAAGTACAGTGTAAAAGGGAAATGGAGGACAGTTAACATTATCCAAGGATATTTAGTTTTTAAAACAATATATAATCTAACAAAATGTGTTATTGTGCTTTCATCTTTTCTTTTTCAGAACAAGGGTTTCTGCCTAAGTTTAACCCTCACCCTGGCCTAAGCATCTTTTTCTAAATATAATTTCAGTTGTTTGGTAATAATAGTAAAAACTTGGTGAGCAGGTTGTGTTCAACACTGGCAAGTCTAGCACCCAAACATTTTCTTTGCAGCTACATGCTCTTCACTGATGTCTCCCTACTGGTACCTGCACCCAGTGTTTAGACCAGACGCAAAGCTACGTTTGGCTTAATGGTTTGCGCCTGGCACAAGAATTAAGCGAGTACAGTATAGAAATGCAAAAAGTACAGTAATGAAAAGCAGTGAAGTACAATAGGGAAAAGGAGAAAAGTACACTAGAGAAACACAGGAGAGGAAAGTAAAGATGAATCTGTGTTCCTTGGCATTTTTCAGCCACAGTAAATAATCAACTATAGTGAAATCATTCTCACACAGGACATGATGAACTTTGTGTTAAGTTAATAAACCACAAACATGTAAAAAAAATGTATTCTCACAAATGAATTGAAACGACAGCAACCCACAAACACGACTGTAAAATATAAAGTTTAGAGCCAGTCGAAAACATTTTAACCAGGCAAAGCTGCTCTTAACAAGAACTAATAATATCTGTAATACTCTATGAGTCAACAGTGTCATTGAAAGTTGATTACTGTGACTTACCTACCACTTGGGCAAGTTTATTCAAAATACATAGCATTTGGGTTTTAGCAATGAGTGAGTATCAGTTACCACCAATGTAACGTGCTATAAAGTATGTGTTCATCTCCACAGAGGGAAGAGGAAGAGTCCTGTTCCTGTGGAGGAGCAGCTGTCCAGCTGTGCTCTGTGTCAGGACGTCCTGAAGGATCCAGTCTCTACCAGCTGTGGACACTGGTTCTGCAGCCAGTGCATCACCTCATACTGGGAGCAGCGACCTCCATCAGGAGACTCCTCCTGTCCCCAGTGTGGAGAAAGATCCAGAACCAGAGCTGACCTGCAGACAGCCAGTCAGACCAGAACTCTACAAAGTAAGTCTGTACATCTGTGTGATGGTGTCTTCATGTCTGAAATCAGGATTCTTCCTGTTTTTTTATATACCACAGAGACAATAATTTTGAACCCTTTCTTTCTTTTTTCTGTTTATCGTTATCATCAAGTTCTCAAAATAATGTTCCTGATTCTCACATGTTTCCTTCTCTTTCAGCAGAACGTGGTCTGCAGGAGGTTTTAGTTGAACATAGGATCAGTCTGAGGACGAGATGTGAACGTGTGACTGAAGGAACGGATAAAAGTGAAACCCTCCTCAACAGGATCTTCACTGAGCTCTACATCACTCAAGGACAGAGTGAAGAGGTTAATACCCAACATGAGGTGAGGCAGCCTGAGACAGCTTCCAAGAAAAAGCCCCTCGATGACACTCCAATCAAGTGCCAGGACATCTTCAAAGCCTTACCTGACCAACAGACACACATCAGAGCGGTCCTGACCAATGGCGTCGCTGGCATTGGAAAAACCTTCTCAGTGCAGAAGTTCACTCCGGACTGGGCCGAGGGTTTGGAAAACCAAGATGTTAGTCTGGTGATCACGCTTTCCTTCAGGGAGCTAGTGGTTCATATTAGGCTAGCAAGAACATGTTTACAATTGCAATCTTATACGGGTAGTCTGCTACGTTCGGTCATTCATTGTAGCTGGCATAAAAACAATGTTTTCCCTAGCATGTCTAGCTCTTGGTAGCCTTATTTTTTAGCTCACAGCATCGTCCTTCAGTGTCCTACGCTGTGCATATCCGGCATGAATCGCTGCAATGTTTGCGAAGCTTTGGTCCGTGAAATGCTGCGCACACAGTACAATACCGACTCGAACATCTGAAGGAACAGTGTTAACAAGAAATGTCAACCACTGACTTCGTCGTGGTTCTGCCATAAGGCAGACATTGAAGATTGCCATAAGGCAGACATTGAAGATTTCTCCTCACAAGACAGGAAACAGACCCTCGTTGGCATGACTGGATACAGTTTTGAACTGAACCTGAGCTTCCAACAGTATATATGTTCGGCTGGCAGAGGGTGCAGCCATAGCTCTGGGCGTGGCTACTGGGTATCCCTACGTCACGATACCCAGGAAGAAAACATTGGAAAATGAGAAATCTCCAACGAGGCGTTTTGGGTAGGTCTTTTCTGTGTTAGAGTTTTACTCCCTACAGGGTGTACTTTGAGGGTTTTGACTCTGCAGACCGTTTACATGCATAAAAACCTTCATAACACACAAGGGGACGGGTAATAACCAGAAAAGCATGACATGGGACCTTTAAAATATTTGTTACATTTTATTTTCTACATGTTCTTTTGGGTGATCAAGGCAAAATGCAATGTCAAACAAATAAAGGACTTAAGAAATGTCATCACAGCAGCATGTTATCACATCATACAGCATTATTTTACAGTAAGCAGTGAATGCATTTCAGTTATTCATAATTATTGCAACATACACTCAGGTTATACCCGATCTGTTTTTACTGCAGTACTAAAAAGATTAAAATGAGCCCTGACAGGCTGACCATACCTAAATCAAACTTAATAATCTATTAAATGGTCTAACATCAAATGTTAATCAGAACATGATATGTCAAACATTTTTTAATCAAATGAATGAAATGTATATAATGGTTTCTCTTTTTAAATAATAACACATTTTGTAATATATCTGTAGTTGACTGCGGACTCTCAGAGACTCACTGTGAAGTTGTGGCCTCAGCTCTGAAGTCCGACGCCTCCCATCTGAGAGAGCTGGACCTGAGTGACAACGATCTGCAGGATTCAGGAGTGAAGCTGCTGTGTTCTGGACTAAAGAGTCCAAACTGTAGACTGGAGAGGCTAAGGTTGGTTCACTGACTGTAGTTCATATCGTTTTTTCAACTTGTCCAGCAGGAACATTGTTTTCTAAAGTTACATCATGTATTCTTTATTCAGACGCGTGCTGCAGTTTGTCAAAGATCAGTTGTGCTAAATTCACACCTGAACACATCTGATTGGATTATAAATTTATTTTTATCCTCATTTTCTTTATTCAGACTGAGGCGCTGCAGGTTGTCAGAGATCAGCTGTGCTGCTCTGGCCTCAGCTCTGAAGTCCAACCCCTCCCATCTGAGAGAGCTGAACCTGAGTGAGAACAATCTGAAGGACTCATTGGTGAAGCTGCTGAGTGATCTTCTGGAGAGACCAGACTGCAGACTGGAGACTCTGAGGTCAGTAAGGGGTACAATACTGCTGGTTCAGCAGTATTGTATTAAACCCTATTGATGTGTTACTCACACACTACCTTCCAAATGTAGCCTAGCGTTGCGCAACAGATCAGTGATGTTACCCACTGACTGCAGTTTCTCCTTTTCTTTCATCTTATGTCTCGTTCATTATTCCACAAACAATATAATGCAAGCTGACAATGCAAAGCCACATAAGTAAGCACATTTTTAACATCGGATTAAACAGAACATGACTAGTTATTTTCTCTGCAGCTGAGAGCTGTGGGCAGTCAGTCGTTGTTTTTGCAAAGAAGACATGATGGGATGTAAAGCATTAGATCAGTCAGCACTCTGTAGTTGACAAACTCTAAGAACAAGCAATTAATCCAAAACGTTTGGGTTGTGTTCATTCCTACAGGATCAATGACAAGACAATCACAGCCAAGAAACAGAAACAAATGTGAGTATTCAAACTATATCCTCCATTCATCAAACTTATCATACATCAAAATCTGAACCTGAAATTAGCGTGTCCTTAAAGAACAACACAAATATTACAATTCATAGTCATAATGACATATTCGATGTATTATATAACCTGTTTTAGATAACTGGCCGGTGTCACCTTTGCTCTGTATGTAAATGTGGATTCCTGTCTTATCTACAAAAACTGTTTGTAGGGTGAGGATAAAGACAAGTGTATTGTGTGCATAACAGAACATGTGTTAGGATTTGGAGTTAATCTTCTGGAAGTTCCAAGAACGATTTCACCCGGGGGGAAATTTCAGAAGTGAGCTCACAGGGGAGAAGGAAAACAACTTCCCCATTAATTGCAAGCTTTGCCAGCCAGCTGTGACATACTCTCTTTATCCAAGGGGTCTACGTATCATTTGAAGAAGCATTTATTGGTAGAACCAACTGCTAATGTTTGCTAACTAGTGTCAACTAACCTGTCTACTATTACTGATGTTACTCTCGCTATATATATATATATAGTTATAGATAGGTGAGTGTGTGAATGTGTGTCCGATTTAACCATTTTTAGGAACAGAAGCCTCATGCTAATCAAATTGTTTTGATTGTTAAATACAAATAAAGAAACAAAGTCCATGAACTGAATTCTTTGAATCTGTTTTTTGGTATTTCACAGTTTTTTGTTGTATACATTGAGTGGCGTAAAAGGCTGTTTATCACATTATTTTCTTGATTGTTTTTTAACTGAAACATGAATTTGTATCAACTAGAATATTGATATTTCTAGCAATATGAAGTTTAGGAAACAAGCACCATCTAAGGGGGTTTGACAAATACTATTGAACAGTTATGTTTAAATGCAATTTAAACAAACAAATGTACCTTATTGAGGGATCAAATATTTCTTAGGGAGTTGCCATTGTTCTGGCCAGTTGGATACTTATGGCGCAGTTCCACTACAGCGCGGAGCTCGCTTTAAGCGTGCCGTGTCGTGCCGTTCCCGTTTTTGGTTGCGCTTCCACTAGGCCTAGTCCCGGCCCGGCCCGGCCCGGGGCCACTTTTTCACGTCTTTTCTGGCCCGAGAAAATTGTGGTTCTATCGAGGCCAACAAACAGGGCTGAGTATGCTAAACTAGAGAGAGGAGCGCTGGCAAGGGGGGTACAACTACAACAAGATGGACATATTTGACCGTGATTTAATTGTAATACACGTTTCAAAATGATGCCGAAGTAACAACATACTGATACCGGTTAGTAAAAACCATGAATTAATGCTTTGTCAAGTCTGCAGACAGACGGCAGGCGAAAAACCTTTTAAAATTCGTGTTTTTCTAGATGGAGATTGGCTAAGCTAACGCAGTATATGCTCCGACCGTCCACACTCACAACAACGGCCTATACAGACATAAATAAAGCAGCGACTGTATTCACCATGACACAGGCAGTCTGTGGTGTGTACTTGTTTAACTTTTGTCGAGTTTCTGAACATATATAAGGAGCTGTGAGCTCTGAGTGCTAACAGCTAACGGCTGTGTTGTGTTTCTGGAGTTCTCATTGAAGATGACGTCACGGCTCCGCCTACACTGCGTTACTATAGTAACTACCCCAGTTCCTAAACTGTAATGGAAGCGCAGCATGAAGTGAGTCGGCCCTGTTAAGGCCAAGCCGTACCGAGCGTGGCCGAGGCCGACCGTGTAGTGGAAATGTGCCATTACAGTCTGGTTGGCATTTCGTTTTTGGCCTAAGACGATTTTGTGAAAGAACCAACGTTGGGATAAAATCATATCTGTGTTTTCTGGCCGTGTTTAACATGTCTCTGACCAGGGAACCTTTTTGTAAACCTTACTGTGCTACATATGTGGTTGTTCTTGTTTCTATTTGTCTCGAAAAACAAAAAGTGAAAGTAATTCAATATACGATAATGGCCATTATGATTTTATTTAGGATATAAATGGACTATGTGGCATTTACATTCCTACACAGTTTATATACAACGCATTTTCAATCATCCAGCAGCAATTTAGTATCAAGTGTCATGTCTTAGTGTATTTACCTATCCTCATCCTTTCTCATCTGTTTCTACTTCAGTTATTAGCATCCCTAGGGACACATCAACTGTTAACTAATATCATTGTGCCAGGTGTTGGCGTTTGTTGAAAATAGTTTATTGTATTTGCACTTCCAGCAGCTGACATTTTCCCTCTAACGATTTTAGCTGTGTTGGAAAAGTAGTAAAGTGGAGTCTTTCAGGGGTAAGTGGTTCCCAGGAATACCACCAGAAACACCAAACAGCCTACTACGCATGTACAGCCTTCTTACATATTATTGTTTAAGAAAGAAAGAATAAAAGACAAATATGTGTGTGTGTGTGTGTGTGTGTGTGTTTGTTTTGAACAATCTGGTAAACAGTATGGTACCCGCTGCTTGTTGTTGTCATGGTTACAACCAGAAGCTCCTTGTAGTTGCGACACACGGCCGGCAGGGGGCGGAGCTTCATCAGATGTGAAGGAGGAACCAGTGAAAGCATCAGGCAGCAGGTAGTGAAGGGGCAGATCCGCGGACCAGATATCAGTGTGGGGCTGCTTAGCTCACACCCCTCGGTTTTTTCTTTTCTTATTCTCCTCGGATTCTCGCCTCCGTGGCTCTTCCCTGGCGAAACCATGGTGGCTAAAAACAGAAAACAGACCGGAAAGAGTCCAACGACCCAGGCTGACCGGAGCCCGCTTGTTTCGCCTCCTGCCAAAAGTAACGGCAGGCGAGCAGGCAAAGCTTTCAACGGCTCCCATCCTAACGGGCTCATCAGACACAAGCTGGGGCTAACTCCTTCTGCAGTCGGGAAGCTGGGTGTCACTCTTCTGCTCGGTGAGTTAGCCTGCTAGCTTCTCCGTGGACCCCCAAGCTAACGGCTGCTAACGTTATGTGTATAACAGTAGCATTAGCTGGTAAATTAAGTTATCTCCGCCGCTGATTAGTTGGCTAATGTTAGCACATAGAAGCTAGCTCAGCAGCATTAGCCACCTATTGTTGCTATTATTAATGAATATAAAAGTCTTACTATCTGCATGGTACTTGCAGACGTGTTAACAGGTTTTCTTGCAAAAGTTAAAGCTAATGTTTTTTATGGGTTATTTTACAAATTCACCGCAGCAGCCAAACATGTTATTATCCAACTCACCCACCCTCAGAGATGCAAGAAGTACTTAGATATTGTAATTAGGTAAAAGTGGAAGTACCAGAGTGTAGGAATACTCTGTTTGTTACAAGTAAAAGTCCTGAATCCAACAATGTTACTCAAGTAAAAGCACAAAAGTATTGGCATCAAAATATACCTAAAGTGCCAAAAGTGAAAGTAGTCATTATGCAGATTGGCCCATCCAGAATAATATATGTTTTTATTATAATTATTGATGGATTAAAGTAGTATCAAAACTGGTAAAGGTGTACCTAGTTGTATGTACTTTGTATACTGCAGGGTAGCTTTTGAAAGTGACTCAAAGTGTAACTATAGTCCTTTTTAAGTGTTGATTATATTTCACATTATTAATCAATATCTGCAAAGTAATTCAACATATCAAATACATCTCGTGGAGATAAGGTATACTGTTTACCTCTGAATTGTAGTGGGGTAGAAGTCCAAAGTAGCAAAAAATGGAAATACTCAAGTAAAGTACACCTTTTTGTTAAGCAGTATTTAAAGTTGATTCTCTCTGTCCACAGCTGCTCTGACTGGGTATCTCCACTGGTAAGTTTCACTATTATCATGTTATTGCTCACACATTACTGCTGTGTTTACTTGTGGATTCAGCTCGTGGCTCACATATTTCTCCTGCTGTCAACAGGCATCATCTCTCACAGCTGTTTGAGAATGACAGACACTTTTCACACTTGTCAAACCTGGAGAAAGAAATGGCTTTCCGGACAGAAATGGTAAATTGATTACTGTTGTTGTGGTTTTATTCTTATGGATGCACAAATAACATTGTTTTGAAGCAGTTGCCACTATGTCCTGTTGTGAGACAGTACAGGTACAAGTGTAATTGCTGGTGCACAACGTATGGGGTTGTATGCAAATCGTGGCACAGCAGGACTGCAACTAACAATTACTTGTATTCTCATTTGGTAAAACTATTTTGAGACTTATCGGCTGATTGATTGCAAAACAACTTAAACAACAAGTTAATTCAATGCCATTGGACATCTTTAAATGTCTTGTTTTGTCCGACCAACAGTCCTTAACCTGAAGCGATTACATTTGCAATCATTTAAAACAAAGAAAAGCAGTACATTCTGATATTTGAGAAGCTGGAACCAGGAAGTGTTTAGCATTCGTCCTTGACAAATGACTCGTGTTATTCATTGATCGTAAGAATAGTTGCAGACCAATGTCTTTGTGGTTAGACCACCAATCAATAAATCAACCAATCATTTCACTTTATACGCTGAGATTTGCTGCTAATTTGACACTTGCATAGATTTTGTATCACTCTTATAACAGAAAAAAAAGGGCAGACCTACTTTATCAATATACTTTTGGAACGATAAGATAATATTCTGCTTTCTATTTGGCAGCAACTGTGATATAATGAGTCCGTTAGATGTCCATTTGTCTACCTCCTTTGCATCTGTATATCATTCTTATCATTAACATATCATGGCCTATGATGAGCCATGACATGAGGTGCATTTATTTACTAAAAGGAACAATAGATAACAGTGTTTTCAACATTAGAGCTGATCCCAATAATCTATTAGACAACTGAAAGAAAATGAATTTGCTACAATTCTAAATCACTTATTTACCTTTTCTCACAATGTGATTACAGATGTATTTTATTTTTGGACTGTAGGACAAAATAAGTATTTCAGGGACAGCTCTTACAGGTGTCTTTCACTATCTTTAACAACGTCATTTCCCAAAGGATTAGGTGATTTAATAAATAAAGAACTAGGCAGAAAGTAATGGTAAAATGAATTAGATTTTCAGCATCATCCACCATAACGGTACTGCAATATAAGCCTTCTTCAACCAAATTGCTCTGTTGTAAGATGGGATGTCTTTCTTATGTGGGTTATAAATAAAAAAATCAAGCAGAGATTGAGCAATGCTGCAGTTTGTATTCTGGCATTTTGTTGTTGTACAAAACAAGGTGATAACACAGCAATAGACTAAAGGGTATTGGCGTTTCCACATTTTGTTGAGCAAAGATGGACTATGCCCTGCAAAGCTGCCAGAGTTGGCGCAGCAATCAGAAAGGGGAAAGCAGTCTTGCATGTGTTAGTTTAACAGGTTTCAGTTAAAGTGAGCTGGTAAAATAAAATGAATATTCAAGACAGAAGTGTAACGTGACCAAACTGACTCCAAACCATCTGCACATTCAGAGAAAACCAGCATTTGCTCCCACAGTTTTATAAACAACATTGAACTTCACCATCCAAACTGACATTTCACATTCTAACAATATGCAAAATGTTAATTCATTTGCATAATCGTGCTACTCGAGGGTAAAGTTAGTAAATATGTGTGGTTTAAGGCAGCATATGTTCATCACTATAACTGCAAAAGTGGCTGATATTCAACATGCAGAGCAGCGTTCGTACCCCTTTCTGAGCGATGACAGTGAAGGTGAAGAGTTTATCATATGCAAACAGAATATTTTTCTCCACTCACCCCTGCTGTGTGCTACTCAATGAGCTGTGAACCGTTTCCATCTGCTGCGCCTGTAGAGCTCGCTCCGGTTTCTTCCGTCTGACTTGAATGTTGTGAAGTTATTTTTAGCGTTTGTCTGCTGTCTCCTTCTCTCTGTATCACTCTCACTCTTTAAACATCTCTTTTTCTTTGTTTGTTCCTCTTCTCCATCACTCTGCCTTGACATTTCTATTTAAAATGTCTTTCTCAGTCGCTCTGTTTGTGTCTAATCATGTGTATGTGTCTTCATTTGGTTCCAGGGTCTGTATTATTCCTACTATAAGACCATTATAGAAGCTCCCTCTTTCCTGGATGGCCTCCACATGGTGATGAATGATCGGCTGACAGAGCACCCTCTGGTTATTAACACGCTGCAGAGATTCAATCTGTATCCAGAGGTAATGCTCATTCTGGCATGCTGTTCATACGCTCTGTAGTGTATGATGGGATTACTCATCATAGTGTTCAGAAATGTTTATTTATCAGACTTTAAACTGGATTATTACATATTATTACTGGTGATATTGGCGCATCGGGCTGCACAATTTGGAAAAAATAATTATTTGCAATTCTAACTGATATTGCAATTGCTGTATGATTAACATGGGGAATTAAAACAAATTAAAACGTACATTTAAAAACAATATTTAAATGATCATGGTGTGATTTTGTTTTTTATCTGAAAAGGACTTTTATTAAGTCTCTGGAATACTGACTTTTCTGCAGCACAACAATACTTCCTTAAGATATTTTCACATATTTTGCATATACCAAATATTGCTCTTTCTGTGCATTAATCCACATTGTGATTTGCTTAACATTTCAATAATTAGTGCAGTCCTAACGGCAGTAGTTTCCATCGGGGGCAATGCTGACATTATGCTGACATTCAGCCTTTCCTTTTTTTATAGGTGATGCGTGACAATATCATCCTGTATCCTCTCTTTACACGCTGCCATCAGAATTTAAATTAGGTCTTGTTTTACACCCTTAACAACTCTTTTCATACCCTGCATTCTCTATGATTAGTCCAATTGTATTTTAGGCTGCATTATTTACTAATTTAAAATATTTTCTGCTCAGGGAAACAATCTTAACACTGAAAGGTCTTCACTGGGAATCCTGTGTGTCCGTTCCCTCCTGAGATGAGAGGACACAGGCTTTTCGAACAAGTTGTTTAAACAGGCTTAAAAACTGCCTCTCATCCTCCTCTGCTCCACAGGTGGTCCTGGCCAGCTGGTTCCGGATGTACACGGGTGTCATGGGATACTTTGGGATTCCCACAAAGATGTGCTGGTCCATCAACAGAGGGGAGGGGCTCACTCCCGTGGACAGCTGTGAAGGTACATACTGCAAATACCCTCATTTACACACACACACACACACACACACACACACACACACACACACACACACACACACACACACACACACACACACACACACACACACACACACACACACACACACACACACACACACACACACACACACACACACACACACACACACACACACACACACACACACACACACACACACACACACACTCAGATAGCAGGTTGAATGATGACTACATCACACAGGCAGATAGCTTTGTTTTTACGACCTAAAGCTCCACCAGCATTTAAAAGACTCTGTTCTCAACACACTGTCTCACGCTGAATTTACTGGATGACTAATTTTATTTCAGACTTTGATGATTTTTCTGAACTCGTGGATGCAGTCAAACAGCCTCAAGGGGGAGTTGGCAGATGAAAGAAATGTTACAGAATGAGTTCAACGCAACGCATTCATGATTCCTGTTTTATACTTTCCATTGAAAATTAAACAGTTTTTTCCACAGAGTTGCTCAACAGGGGGAACAATGGGAACAACACCTGACCTCCTGTAGCTAAAACCTCACTAATTAAACTCTTAAATCTTGTTTGTTTAACACGTACACAATCAGAAGTGTAAAAACAAGAAATGGTGGTCTGTATGCTGGCTTATTTCTTGGCCATGTGCCAGGACTTAGAGTCTAGTCACCACTGTGACTTTCCAGACAACCAGAGGCAACACAAGCAGGTCAAAAGCCCATCTAAGAATAAGGGTATTCACAAAAAGTTGAACAATTTCCTTAAAAACGTGCTTATCTATCATAAGACAACTAAAACAGCACATCCTTTGAGAAGATCTTAATATATCTGTGCTTTTTTACCTAAACATTTCTGAAAATCATCTTTCCAGTCTCACCATCGTCGCTGATTAAGAACTCCTTTGTTGTCACTGCACCATGTACATCAACATTTTACATGTATATGTTTCTGTTGATCGACTACTTGTTCAAAAGGCAAAACATTGATTTGAAGGTGAGAGAAACAAAGCATGGCTCACAAAATCCTCTTCCAAGTAAAGGTATGACGTTAAGGATCTAAATGGCAGCACAGACAGCAAGGGCACACTATTATCATCATTACAGTAGCCCTATGGGAAATATAATGATTTGAACCTATTACATACAAATTGTTTCCTGATATTTGTTCACAGGAACATTTCCTAGAAGGCTAAATCTGCTGAAAGTAAACCCGCTGTTTCCAGCTTTCCTTCTTAAGAGCTGTAATCTGTGTGTTTCTGTGAGTCCCATTAGAGAACCCCACCCAGGGACAAACACACAGGCTGTTTTCACCATGTTTACACAAACCTGACGCAAGCTGCCTTACATAAGAGCTACCAGTCAGAAGAGAGGGAACATTTCCTGTAACTGTGAGCACCAGAATGATATTTGCTGTTAGAACGAGCTCCATTTACTGTCAGAGCACTAATGTTAGACACCTTCTGTTACCCTGTTAGTCATTACATCCTTGTCAATCTGTTCTGCGAACCTGCATATTTAGTGAGTGCATTAGCCACTTTATCGCTGAGTAAAACATTCTGTACCAAAAACATTTACCACATTTTTATTCAGTGTCACATGTTCAACACCTTCTGTTCTAATTAGGTCGACACACTCGCTGGTCAACGTGTACTGTTAGTTCTACATATCTCAAGTATGCCACATACGGTCCTAATAATTTCAGTTCCACTTTTGTGTCATTTAAATCTTAAACGTGGGATGTTTATAGACTTCCCCTTGCAAGCAGAAGTCTTGATTTACTTTCAATCCAGTGCAATCTAGGCACATTTTCAGTCTCTCTTGCTAGCCCTTTGTTTTTATTACATTTATTTATTCATGTTCGAGAGGTAAGAGAGAGGGGAAGGGATTAAACCAAACAAGGTCCCAAATGTGATCAAAACCATCAACATTATAGGTGTAGTACTTGACAATATCACAAAGAAAGGTCTAAAAAATGACCAGACCCTTGTTTTATATTTCGTTGAGTTGTGTGCCTACATTAACCCACCATTTTAGAGAAAATACATATTCTGTGTTAAATATAGTATGTGGTTAATGGTTATAGTTCTTCCCCTTTTTGTTGCGTAAATCAACATTTGTAATCTTCTGTTTACTTCAGTCCTTGTTATTGCTAACTCCCTCTGTTGACTGCTAATGTGTTTGCCTTCAGGGCCAAACACACTGCATATTCTCTGCCTGGACTTTGGAGAAAATGATGCTGTGTTTTGTATATGAACACACTGAGGATATGTCAAGTGATTGTGACAGTTCAGATTATATGCTTTGTATTTGACTATGATATATGATGCTGTCACGGATAAACACATTTAACATCTCATCATTTACTCTACATATAGTATTCGTGGTATGATTTGGTGTTTTTGAGTTAATAGGAACTCCCATATTGTAAAACGTGGCTGAAAACAAAAAGCAGGCCACAGAAAGCCTGCAGCAGGAGATTCTGGTGTGTGTGTTGTCCTCATATGGGGAGCAGTGCACAATGAATACATCACCCTGGAAAGAGCTCTGCAGACACACTACCTGTATTAGGAGCTATTTGTGTGCATTGACCTAAATTAGAGTTAGAAAAAGTCTTGTTCATGAAACTTCCAGACATTTAACTGTATCAAAGCAAAAGGGTTTTTAAGATAGAAACTCTATTCAAGTCTTCAGACCATTAACGTGCACCAATACCTATACTGTATAACACACTACAGGAAAGGAAAATCCACAAAAGGCATAATAGGACCTCTGGAAACATCTTCTCTCTCTCTCTCTGGATGTGTGTGTTAGGGATGGGCGACCCGGCATATTTCTACGTGACCTTCGTGTTCCTGCTGAACGGCGCCATGATGAGCCTGTTCTTCATTTACGGCGCCTACCTCAGGTAACTCCACTGCACAAGGGCTCATTCCCGTCACGCTCAGATGGACACCAGACAGGAGAGGATGAACTTAATGACAGAAAACTGTTTTGTGCTCTGGTTCCTGTCAAATACGGATGTAAGACATGAGATGGAGGATGACCTTTGGTTTGCTCTCTCCCCCTCTTCCCATTATTTCCCGTCTAGTGGCAGTCGACTGGGCGGCGTTGTGACCACGATGTGTTTTTTCTTCAATCACGGCGAGGTAAGCCTGGAGAGCTAAACGCTTGTTGCCTCGTCCTGTAATTCTGTACAATAAGTCTGTGTGGGTGTAAGGATGTGAAAATGTGTAAAGGCACTCAGAAAAACCAAGGAATTAATTTCCGCCCTCAAAGGAGCTTAGAGACTCAAAGCTGAGTCCCTCCTCCTCCACCGTTTCCCCCCAGAGCACAAGGTCTCTATTTTTAAAGCTCTGTATGTCAACATTTCATTCACACACATTCACCGTTGTGTCTCTCAGTTCTTTTGAATAGAGCTGCAACAATAAGTCAATCTATAGATAAGTTAATGAGAATGGATTCATCTTTGAATTATATTATATAATAATATTTTTTGTATGCAAATATAGCAGAAAATGCTGCTTTTCCTTTATCCTTTTCCACATAAAACATCCCTTAATGTCCGGCAGTGGCTCAGTCAGTAGGGGGCTTGGACTGGGAGCTGTAGGGTCGCCGGTTCAAGTCCCCGCCCAGACCTAAAATATGGAGTGTGGACTGCTACTTGGAGAGTGCAGTCTCAACATTTACGTGGTGCCCTTGAGCAAGGCACCAGACATCCCCCTTCCCCCCTCACTCCCATTGCTCCCCGGGCGCTGTACAATAGCTGCCCACTGCTCCTAGTACTAGACTCCTGGTACTAGGATGGGTTAAAAGCAGAGAACACATGTCACTGTGTGTGCTGTGTGCTCTGCATGTGTGACCATTGAAGAGGGTTTCATCCCTCCCTATTCTATTCTATTCTAATTTATGTTTTATGTGATATTTAAACAATTCTATGGACTAAAACAATTAATTAGACGATAAAGAAAATAATGGTTAATTCCAACCCTACTCTTGTACAATGTTCTCCCAGTCTTCTCTTCTTGAGTGGTGGGAATTTCAGCAGCATTGGTAATGAAGCTGTATGTTCTGAGGTGACAAAAATGTGAGTTTGTAGTGTAAAATTCGTATAAATGTGTATTACATGGTGATTCTATCAAACTATAGCCACAGGTTCCCTCTTTATAAACTATTCAGACTGTGTGGCTGGCAGGGAACAGAACCATTGGGAAGTCCCAACAACTTAAAAAATGAGATCATATAAAACGTTGTGTGCCAACGCTGCTCAGTACAGTTAGACCGCTTGTATACATTGCAGCAGGAGATATGCAAATGTTGGTTTAAAATACATCTGGCACATTAAAATAACAGCATGTGGACTTGTAAATGTGGCACTAATTATTCACAAGCCACTTGATCTAAATACTGAAGGTCCTGGTTCCAACCATTAAAGTTTATGGGGTTAAGATATTGGTATATAAATCAAAACCGGGAAAATGTGATGTTCGGTAGTTTCATTAGAGAAGTGTGGTAAATAAACATTCCACTCAGATACCAGAGAGCACAACACCCAGATGCTGTTGTGGATACAAGCATTGTTTTACATGACAAATACAGGTTATATAACTGTTGATATGTCTAAGCTGCAGAGGAAGACAGTGCTTGTGAAAACTATCTTAATACTTTTTGGAATAATTATTTCTGAGTAATTCTATCCTCTGTGATGTTTTGATTTGCGTTTTTATTGTGCATGTCTTGTGTGTGTCAGAGCACTCGTGTGATGTGGACTCCGCCCCTGAGGGAGAGCTTCGCCTACCCTTTCTTAGTCCTGCAGATGCTCATTCTCACCTACATCCTACGGTAAACTCTCCACCCTTTCTCTCTTAAAATCTCAATATCAACTGTTAGCAAACTCTCCATATTATAACATAAGAACATCAGAGTAAAGCCATATTCTTTCTGACATTTTCATACAAAAATCCCACCTTGAGTTGAGTTTTACCTGTGTGTGTAACTAGGGCTGCTCAATTAATCGTATTTTAATCACGATTACGATTATGGCTTGCAACGATTACGAAAACAACGTAATCGAAATAAAACGATTACTTTTTTATTATTATTATTACTTTTATTTTTTTCAAATACATTTATTTTTTTGGTTTTTCAGTTGAATTATACTTAAAGTTCAGGGTAATCAACTGTTAAAAACATACTTTTCAAATTTTCTTTCTCCAATAAATTGATGTTTTCAAAGTAAATGGATAATCGTTTTTAATAATCGTGATATCAATTATTAACCCAAATAATCGAGATTATGATTTTTGCCATAATCGAGCAGCCCTATGTGTAACCAAGTGGCTCTCAATTTGTACACGTAAGGTACACATTGCCAGTAGTGTCATTACACATGTGATCAGCACATGAAACATGCAACCTTTGATAGAACACGGTTGTATATAGTATAGAGGAATATTATGGTATTCACTCCCTGCATGTAATAAACCATTTCTATTGCAATTTAAACTACTTGACTCGACTCACTTTGCCAACAGGTGCTCTTGTCTATTTATTTTTTTCACTGTGAATATTACCCATTCAATGTAGGCAATATTCTCAGCTGATTGCCGTCGCGCCGCCTCATTAAACTACAGTTTAGCATCCGGACACATTCTTTTAAATCAGTGGTCTGCAGTTTTGTACCTTCTTGTATCAACTCAGCTTTCTTAGAACCTCAACCAAAATGGTACCAGGAAAAAGAACCAAGTACTATTCACAAATGTTTCTGAATACCACAAGAAGAGGGAGTCAAGTAGAGCCAAGCTGTGCCATGTGTACAGCTTGTGTGAAGTCTTTGTCTGGAGAACATCGGGTCCTGTCAGGTCACTCCTGTAGCCCGGGGCCCTTGGAGCACTGTGATGACATCACCACCTGTCTCCACACATCCCGATCTTCTGCCAGTCTCATGCACTCCACCACTGCTTTCCCCGTCCACCTCTTAATGTCCTCCAGTCATTCTCCCCCCTTCTTCAGTCAACTGCGCGGTGCGTGATGGTATTTGCTAGCGACTCGCTGGTTCTTGTTATATATCCAAATCAGCGGTTCAAGAAACCCTAGAAGTGCCTGTATCTCCTGCTTCAGTGAGTTGTTTGTACGATGCATTTTCCATGTCATTTTCTTATGAGAGAACATCGATAACCTGGAAAAGCATTTGGTTTTGTTTTCATTTCAACACTCTGTTAACTATGTGAAACAACAGTAGAAACACCTGATCAAACTGCTGTTCCCTAGCCACACCAAAGATAGACAGGCTACAATTTGTGTTGTAATTAGTGGGGTGAAGCAAGGCTTGTTCTGTTTTCTGCTCATCGGTGAAGCACTGAAGCAGCAGCGTTGTGAGCTAATGTACTTGTCACACAGACTAGTTATCTTCTCATTGCACATCAACTGGCAGACGCCACCTTGTGTTATGTCAGTGCAGCGAGTAAACTGTGACTTCTTCTAAAAGGAGAATGAACACCGTGTCATATTTCTGAGGCCGACTCGGAACATAACCACAGCTTTGTAGTGCACTCAGAGTGAAATTGAATGTGTGTGCTTGTGTATATGTGTGTTTTCTAAGCCGTCTTAATGCATCTTCATTTATCTCCTCGACACCCACACTCTCTCACCACCACTATATATATATATATATATATGTTTTCTTCCTCTCTCCTCAGGACACGGAGCCCGAGCAGGACAGCCCTGGTCGCCCTGGGCATATCCAATCTGTGCTTTATGCTGCCTTGGCAGTTTGCCCAGTTTGTGCTGCTCACTCAGGTAAACACAGCGAGAGAGACATTGAGAGGGAATGTGGGAAGAAAGAAGAAGGGGCAGAGAGATTAGGGAGAAAATAGAGACTTGGAGAGAACAGAGGACTCTGGCGAGGACGATGCAGAGATTGTAGGAGCTGGCCAGGATTGGAAAGAAACAAAGAGGCAAAAAAGAGAGAAAAGGGATGGAGATGAAAACAGAAATTACAATTACATTTAGAAAACGTTGGTATTGTTTTCAGTTTGGACCCTATTCTCCCTTGTCTTTGTGTCTAAATGATTATTTTATATGTTTTTAGGTGGCTTCTCTGTTTGCTTCTTACATCCTTGGTTACCTCTGCGCTGCCAAGATGCAATCCATCCTCGTCACTCATATGGTACAGTACGCTACACAATCTGAAATGAATCCATCCGTCAATGTGAAGAGTGTTTCTTTTTCCTAACTATTTTGTCAGTGAAGCATCATGCAATGGCAGCTCTGTATTCGGTTTGATTTAACAGTGAAAAGATTGCAACGCACCTGAGCTTCTGAGACAAAATTATTTAAAGGGGGCCTATGATGTTCATTTTCAGGTTCATATCAGTATGTAGTGTCTCTACTTTAAAGAGTCCTCTCCTGCTGATGTTCAGGTGTATATCAGTATGTAGTGTCTCTACTTTAAAGAGTCCTCTCCTGCTGATGTTCAGGTGTATATCAGTATGTAGTGTCTCTACTTTAAAGAGTCCTCTCCTGCTGATGTTCAGGTGTATATCAGTATGTAGTGTCTCTACTTTAAAGAGTCCCCTCCTGCTGATGTTCAGGTTGTATATCAGTATGTAGTGTCTCTACTTTAAAGAGTCCCCTCCTGCTGATGTTCAGGTGTATATCAGTATGTAGTGTCTCTACTTTAAAGAGTCCTCTCCTGCTGATGTTCAGGTGTATATCAGTATGTAGTGTCTCTACTTTAAAGAGTCCTCTCCTGCTGATGTTCAGGTGTATATCAGTATGTAGTGTCTCTACTTTAAAGAGTCCTCTCCTGCTGATGTTCAGGTGTATATCAGTATGTAGTGTCTCTACTTTAAAGAGTCCCCTCCTGCTGATGTGCAGGTGTATATCAGTATGTAGTGTCTCTACTTTAAAGAGTCCTCTCCTGCTGATGTTCAGGTGTATATCAGTATGTAGTGTCTCTACTTTAAAGAGTCCTCTCCTGCTGATGTTCAGGTGTATATCAGTATGTAGTGTCTCTACTTTAAAGAGTCCCCTCCTGCTGATGTGCAGGTGTATATCAGTATGTAGTGTCTCTACTTTAAAGAGTCCTCTCCTGCTGATGTTCAGGTGTATATCAGTATGTAGTGTCTCTACTTTAAAGAGTCCTCTCCTGCTGATGTTCAGGTGTATATCAGTATGTAGTGTCTCTACTTTAAAGAGTCCTCTCCTGCTGATGTTCAGGTTGTACATCAGTATGTAGTGTCTCTACTTTAAAGAGTCCTCTCCTGCTGATGTTCAGGTGTATATCAGTATGTAGTGTCTCTACTTTAAAGAGTCCTCTCCTGCTGATGTTCAGGTGTATATCAGTATGTAGTGTCTCTACTGGGACATGTCTCCATGCTTTAATGTTCAAAAAGCTCTTTATTTTTCTCATACTGCCTGTGCTGCAGCACCTCTTTTCACCCTCTGTCTGAAACCAGAGCCCAGTCTGCTCTGATTGGTTAGCTGGCAGGCTCTGTTGTGTCGGTCAACCGCTTATGTCCCCTTAGCCTATCACGTACAATGTGTTGGAGTGCTAGCAAATAAAAGGGCGAGTGGTACATATTGATGTCACTATGTTCGGGAAGTAAACAAAGGAGATCAATGGAGGCGTTTCAGGCAGAGGGGGGGGGGAGAGAAGCTTCTTCTGGAACACAGGGATTTTACCCTTTGCAGACCATTTACATGCACAAAAACCTATATAATACTACAGGAAAGGACAGCCCCACAAAGCATATTACGGCCTATTTAAAATGCAGAATGTAAAGGACAAAAAACTCATTTTAGGAATTAAAAATAAACTAAGTTAAGGTTTCAGGAGTTTCTCTGTTGCTCAGTTGTTCTTTGAATCACACATGTGCATCAGCTTTCTCTGTCTGAGGATTATGTGTTGTGCCCAGAATAAGTAAAAGTATTTCCAGCTGCTGTCCCCTGAGCGGTAATGTGCTCCGTCTCGGTTCTCCTTATCTGACTCAGCTCCTCGGCCGGAAGAATTTCATGAGCCGCGAGGACAACACCAGCCGAGACGGGGGTGACTTTCTTTAGCATCCACAATGCCAGGGCTGCCTTTTAGCATTAAAGAGGGTGGATATGTGGGCAACTTGTTAGCCCTGACAAGGACAAAAGTATATATGTGTTGATGTGTAAAGATGTTTGTGTTCTGGAGTGTGTGTGTGTATGTGTGTGTTTGTGTGTGTGTTATTCTGGCCATACGTCCCTCTCCTCCACATTCCTCCCCCCCTAATCCCCTCAGCATGCCAGGCCCCGTGTGCTCCAAAGATAAGGAGAAGGCTCTTTGTGGTTAGATGCTGGAGATTTGTGTCAGAGGAAAGCATATGCCTCTGCATAATTTAGAGAGCTTGGCAACGATGAATTTGCCTGTGAGTGTGTGTTTGTCTGTGTGTGTGTGTGTGTGTGTGTGTGTGTGTGTGTGTGTGTGTGTGTGTGTGAGAGAAAAAACCCAGCATTTGTGTCCTACGACCTACAGCGCTGTTTAAAGCCTGAGCAGTGACACTTGTTCCAGGGAAGACAAACGTGCAGGACTGCTACCTATACAAAAAAAAAACTGTATCATCAACTGTCCTGTCAGTACTTAAGGTAATAATAAGACGTTTATTTTTGCAAGTGCTTTTACAGGTGCTCAAATAAAAATCGGGCTAATAAAACAACATTTAACACAAGGACACAACGTTAATCACACATTAAAAGCAAGTCTTAACAGGGGATTTTTTGGTCAGTGTTTTGAAGGTGGAGAGGTCAGTGCAGTCTCTGTGTTGTGGGACTGAGTTCCAGAGAGAGGGGGCAGCGATGGAGAAGGCTCTGTCCCCCCAGAAAGCCTGGTTGTTGAGTGCTTTGGGTGTTGGGATTTTTAAAATGTATTCGTTGAAGGACGGGGGGGAAGTGGTCTCGGTGATATGGTCTTCTGGACATAAAAGTGACTTGTCAACCATCTGGATACAGTGCAGTGAAGTGCATAAAGGAACTGAATTGCATTTCCCAATAAACCTGTTATTTCAGTTTTTATAGCTTCTCTACAATCTTTCCACACTCCGGTCTATAAGTGCCTCTTATTGTGAATGACTGCCCTTCTGTCTACATAATGCAATGAATGGTGCATTATCTCACTCTTCACTGTGGGATTAAGCATCAAGTGTTTATTAAGTAGGATTATATTTTTGCTTGTAGCTGTGTATGCACAGTATACAATCTATTCCAGAACTCCTTGCTGCCAAAGAGAGGCAAATATATGTTATTAATAATTTGGTATGCAGCTCTACGTCTCACTCATCGCCCAGCCTACATGTTTCACATTATTTCTAATCATTTTCATTACATCTAAATGTATTAAAACCTCCTCTCCTTCCTGTTCCCGTGCTGCAGATCACCCTCGCTGTCTGCTTTGTCCTAATGTTCGGAAACTCCATGCTGCTCACGTCCTTCTACGCCTCCTCGCTCGTCTCCATCTGGGTGAGTAGAAACTCTAGAGAACAATATATCCTGCATCATCGAATGTTTAATGCAGTGGGTCACTCAAGATTAGTTCAATTTGATCAATGCATCCAGCTGGTTATACTGTACATTAGGTTGAGTAAACAGCATTGCAGAGGAACATTAAAATGCAAAACCACTAATAATAATAATGTGTGTTGGTGACTTGGACTTCTTTTATTATGTTTTGGTCATTTCTTTCCAGGCAATCATCGCATTGAGGGATCGATTTGCTCAACTCTTCAAACCTGGCATCGTCATGTGGGTATGTTGAAATTATTTTCCGTCTTATGTTTGGAGGGATACACTTCATTCTGCCTCTTTGTTATGGAAGAAATACCCAGATGGAGCTATAAAGCAGTCTCTTTCATTTTTAAATAAAGATGCTATTGATTATGCAGCCTTGATTTGGATCAGTTAGTTTGTTTCTCATTTAAATGAACAATAAAGCTAAAAAATGTTAAATGTTTGAACAGTCCACAGCCCTCTTTAGTCGTTCCCAACTCTACAGCACTTCACGGCTTTAATTAAAGGTTGCTGTCCTGAGTTGTGCGTGTGTACACGTCAGGCTGTCAGTGTGTATCTCTTCTCCCTCCTCAGGTCATGCAGGGCTTGGCTTGGGTCGGCTCCACAGTTCTGCTCAAATTCCTGCTGTCCACGGTCCTCTGCGCCTCAGATGATGTAAGCTGCAGCAACTTTACCTTAAAAAAAGTCATGTGGCAAGAACTAATGCTAATATTTGAATATGGTTAACAGTAGAATATATATCTGATCATTTTATAACTTAATTCAAACAATAGTAATGACTTTGAATGGTTTTATTGCTTAGAAAATCTCTGATATTCACAGAGATGAAAGATTTATCCATTTTTCTAGTATCTTACAAAAATATTTCACTCTTATACATTTTTGTTATTATTCTCAGAGAATGTTCAAGTTTTTTTTTTCTCAGACATCTACCTTTTTTAATCCGTCAAATTCACAGATTTTACTCCAAATATATCCCTCTCCTCTTTCTCTGTTTTGCCTCAAATTGCTCTTCAGTTCACGTACCGTTAAATGCTTAATAAAGGCAAATCTGAAACAGGTACCGTCAAAAAATTAGGATCATATAGGGTAGTCAACCCACAATAGAAAACCCAGATGCAGAGGTTTTGATATCAGCTTAATATCAAATATCTTATAGTTTCATGCTGACATCAGAAATGTTGGAATTAAATCAACAACAATTTCAAATGCATTCACAAATTTAAAATCATGAAAGAAAGTTTTTTGTTAATGAAAAAATACAAAAACATGTCTGTAATATGTCTCTTTTTTGTGTCTCTTCCAGGCGCACATCAGTGGACTAATAAAGTCTAAGTTCACGAGCTACAAAGACTTCCACACTCTGATGTACACGTGTGCTGCAGAGTTTGACTTCCTGGAGTTAGAGGTAAAGTTTGTTTTTTGTTTTAATCTCAACAAGATTAACAAATAATCCTCCTTTTGACTTTGTTTGCTAAAGTGTTCTCTGAGATAAATCTGAGGTGGATTGGTGTGAAAAACATTTATTTTTATCAGAATAAACCTGCTGTTTTATATCAAAGAGTCTGATATGTTCCAGCAGGCATCAGAGCACAGGGAACGTAAATTACGACTGTAACTACGGTTCTATGAATCCCTACTGACCGCCAGAGGCGGTGCTTTAAGCACTGGATATGTCCATTGCGCGCATGCGCAGGTCGAGTACCAATACCAACAAAGTCACCTGTGACCCCACGTGACAACGGGCTATATCTGCCGGTGTCGTCAGAGGATCTGTTCACAGAATCTTCTTGCGAGTGTTAAGGAATAATTATTCTAGATATCTAACCTTTACTCTGTGACGTTTTATGATCTACTCTGACGTCTGTTATCTCCTTTAAGGAAAGGCCTTGGTGCCACATGTGTTGTTGTTACCAGTTTGTGACCGGTCAACTTGTCGGGCACAAATGGTAATTGTTGTGAGAACGCTGAGGCACTTCTTTATCGATGTTTGTAGACTCTAAGATGTGAAATCTTCGAGGCCATGAGTGTCGGACGCAGGTGGTTCAGTGTTCCCAGCTGTTTAGTCTACTCCTTCAGAGATGTTGATTACTCTCTGTGAACCAGTTAAAAGGTCTAGCATAGAGAGAGGCTCTTCAGAATTGACGTGGCAACTCTACCGTGTAGTCAGAACCTCTGACTCTTTGACTTGTGATGTGAATAAACCCATCAGTGTTTGACATCAAAGCTCCAACTCTCACCGTGTCTCCTTCCTGAGTCGGTGACTCCCAATGCATTGCTACACAGAAGTTTCCCCCACAGCGAGAACACAAGGATTCTGAGTGACAGGATACTCTGGCGGTCATCCGGGATTCATAGAACCGTAGTTATAGTCGTAACTTACGTTCTATTTCATCCCTACTGACTGCCAGAGGCGGTGCTCTAAGCACTGGATGACTTATACCAACAATGTCATGAAGAATCCAAGCACTTACTCACTAACTGGAAGCAGCGGAGCTCGGCAATAGGACCACGCCCAAAGGATAAGGAGTGGTGACATTAACTCGATAAAACCCGGAGAATGTGCCACAAGGCGCCCACGACGCCGCGGCGCAGATGGTATCCAGGGGGACCCCTCTCAGGGCAGCCCAAGATGTTGAGATGCTCCTTGTAGAGTGGCATCTCACCCCTGATGGCAGGGGGCGGCCACTGGCCCCATAGGCATGTGAGATGATATCGACAACCCAGTGGGACAGTCGCTGTTTAGAGAGAGCACAATCTTAGACAAAAGGCTCTGTGACACCCGGAGTAGCTGTGCGGACCTGGTGCCCCCCTGATGGTTGATCTGGGCAACAGTGGACATGTTGTCAGAACGAACAAGCACATGCTTGCCCCCCAGTTGGGGTAAAAAGTGCGTGAGTGCAAGCTGCACAGCCCGAAGCTCTAGCACGTTGACGTGGCGTGCACCTTCCTGGGCAGACCACTGAGCCTGAACAGTCCTGCCCTGCCACACTGCACCCCACCCTGAGAGACATGCATCCGTAGTGACAGTCTCCCGGCGGGATGGGATGGCGCCCATGGGCACGCCCATCAAAAGTTAGGCCCTGTCCCTCCGGCGGGACAGAGAGTGGAGACACCGCTGAGACACCCTGACTCTTCTGTGCCTGTGCCATTTGGCGTCCAAGTGGAGGCTGTTCAGCCATATTTGTATGGGGCCAGTGTTCATTTTGGCAGATTTTTTTAATTTAGTCTTAGTCTTTAGACGAAAATGGTTATTAGTTTTAGTCACATTTTAGTCCTTTTTATCCTTCATAGTTTTAGTCTAGTTTTAGTCGACGAAAACTCAAAACGTTTTAGTCCAGTTTTAGTGGAGATCCGGGCATCGAAGCCAGAGTGGGAGAGGGCCCTGGTGTCTCTCCAGCATGCAAGGAACTCCCTCAGATACTCCTCTGAAGGAGGAACAGTGAGAGTGACAGGGGCAGGGTTACGCCTGAAGAAGGCGCTAGCCTGAGCCGAGTCGGCCTGCGGAACCTGAAGCTGCAAGCGTGCCAGGGCCGCACAAATAATGGCCACCATGGACGCGTCTTCCATGCCCTGCAGAGAGCTCTGAGCAGAGGAGTGGGAAGCCTCCTCGAAAGTGAGCGAGGCCTCGTCCTCCACTTCTTCATTGAAGAGGCTAGCCGAAGCCGCTAGCGACATGGCATCCTCAAGCCCAAGGCAAGAGGGGCAGCGGTCATGGCCGTCTTCGGGCTCAAGAGAAGCCATACAGGCGCTACATGAATGGGCCATTATGTAGGTAGCCAGATGCAATGTAACCGGGAGCAGGAGCAAGAGCACAGCCTTCACCAGTTACCTGCTGAATGGAAAGAGTAGTCTGAAGTACTGCTACTAATCACAGAACACCAAGAGGGATGCAAACATAAATGTCCTACACCCACGTTACCAGCAGTGGGAGCGGGAGCGAGGGCACTGCCTTCACCAGCTGAGTTAAATAATGAAGTTTAACAGAACACGCAAGATGTTAGCCAGCGGCTGCTGCTAACAATCAAAGCAATACGTTACCGGGAGTGGGAGCGAGCGTGCTGCCTTCACCAGCAAGTCCAAGTCAAATAACACAAATGCTAAGACCAGATAATTGGCTTCAAAAGAAAAAAACAGCACGGATAAAATCCCAGTGCTTATAACAAGTGTCAGCCAAAGCGGCTGCACACTAGCAATACAATAAATAACAACAACATAGTTAGGCTGAGCCACGCTACTGCCAACTAAATTAAACGAGAAAACGCAGCTAAAGCTGGAAACTCAAAATGCTAATGATAGCTCGGGCACAACGCTGCCACAATCAGATGCAAAAAAGTACAAAAGAGCACAATAAGGGCAACTTATGGGAGCGGGAACGCTGCCGTCACCAGAAAGTCTAAGCCAAATAACGAACAAGACAGCAAACAGGACAACTTATGCTGGGAGCGGGAGCGGGGACACTGCCATCACCAACAAAGTCGGCAGAAACCTGTCCGTCAAAGTTTTGCGCAGCCGGCCACAGCCTCTGGAGGACGAGCAAGCAACTCGCGGCTCGGACTGGATCAGTCGCGAAGCTGCACGCAGCCAGCTGTATGCAGAGAATTCCTAGCTCAAGCCGAACGCTGTAGGCTACAACATGTAGCCACGGTACTCGCGCAGCGAGAAGATGAAAAGGAACAGATCCTCTGACGACACAGGCAGATATAGCCCGGTGTCACGTGGGGTCACAGGTGACTTTGTTGGTATTGGTACTCGACCTGCGCATGCGCGCGATGGACATATCCAGTGCCTAAAGCACCGCCTCTGGCGGTCAGTAGGGATGAAATAGAACCAGATCTGTGCTTTGAGTTTAAAAGGAAATAGAAAGCTGGCAGCTCATTTTGATTTAAACTCTTTTACAAACTGGACCCTGCTCATGTTGTGGTTGCATGTTGTGACTGTGCAGTGTACAGTCAAGATTTTGAGATGTCTTAACTTACGGTGTCTCTCCGTCCCTCAGACCCCTTTAAAATACCTTAAAACGTTGCTGCTGCCCATCAACATGCTGGTGGTCGCTGTCATCGCCTGGAGGGTAAGTGTTCCTGTAGCTTCTGGACTGAAATCAGATAAACAAGCAGCAAAACTAATATGACCCACAAAAGTAACATCTTAAAGTGGCAATCATTTAGTCCTTGTTAAAGGGGCCCTATTGTGCTAATTCTCAGGTGTATATCAGTATGTAGTGTCTCTCCTGTGACATGTCTCCATGCTTTAATGTTCAAAAAGCTCTTTATCTTTCTCATACTGCCTGTGCTGCAGCACCTCTTTTCACCCTCTGTCTGAAACCAGAGTCCAGTCTGCTCTGATTAGAGTTTTATTTGTGCACTTTTCATTCCCAGGGTGCAGATTAAGGCCTTTTTTGCACACATACAGTATACAGTATGTATATTGTATATGAGATTTCACGGTACGCAAGGAGGTAAAAAAAAGTCTGACAGTAAAAGAAAATTCATAATAATCTAACATTTTATAACAGATAAAAACTATAAAATACATTTAAAAAAACAATATTTAAAGAATAGCTACAATCAAATATGTAAAAACTTTGAAATAAATACAACTATAAAAAAATAACAATAAGAAAACATTAATAACTACAATACAATCTAATAAACTATGAAATTAAAAAATAAAACAATATACATTTTTTTTGAATGAAATTCAAGCGGGATGTTGCTTATTAAAAGCTAATTTAAAATGTTGTTATAATTACACCCATGTTTTATTTTGGTCACAATCTGAGGGAAATGCAGTTTGTATTAGAGAAATGTTACAGATGTGTCCCCTTTTCAGAACAACTCAGCAGGCAGTCCCACTTCAGGTGAGACGCCGGGAGTCGCTCTGCTCGGTTCACTGCTAACATTTATTCTTCCCCTGAGGAGGCTTTTTAATTTCAGTAGATTGCAGTGGTGTCATTTGCCCTGCATGGGAGTCATAGCTCAGATTTACATGTGTATATATTTAAGCTTCCAGAAAGGAGGAGATTTATGTCTGATTCCTATAACAGGATTTTTATTTTGTTGAGGGAAACTCCAAAGGGATATTTAAAGAACTGCTCTTTATGTAGTCTAATCTCATTACGCCTTGCCCCCGCTAAACCAAGAATACATAAGTCGATTTGACAAAGCATGGGATCCAGTACATGAGCAAGCTGTGAGGAAGATCTCGGCTCCTACTGTGCACTTTTCTTTGGAAACATGACATTATTCTAACCATTAGTCCTTTGCAGACTTTCCAGGATATTGTCCGGTTCCTGAGGGACGGAGGGAAGTCTGTGAAGCCGGAGGAGGCTGATGAGGCTTCAGGGTGAGCGTCTGGAGGCCTGGTTGCTCATTCAACTTTCATTTACTAGCAGGGAAATCCAAATAAGTGTGTAACAATAAGTCATCAAAGCTTACAACGAGCAATATCTTAACATATCCTTTTTTACGAATTAGGGATTTGCAATTCTTAAGACAACCGTGTATAAGGACCATTGTAGGTTTATAAAAAATTGCACTGCCAGTAGAGGGGGTGTACAATTATGTGTGAATGTGGTGATAGTAAGATAAATAACTTGAATATTCTTTGACATTCAAACTCTTAAATCTCTGAGAAAAAGAACTGGAAAATTAGTTTTTTATTGGGTACATTTAAGAAAACTTTTTTTTCTTGTCAATTCACAACCTTTTATTTATTGAATTGATTACAGACTTTTCTTATTTAAAAAAAGATATTACCTCATGAGGCTACATTGTTTTTACATGTACCTACAATAACCTAATATGATTTCATTCATTTTATCTCGAGTCTGGATTTAAGTGTATTATCTCTTTGTGTTCTGTGTTGCAGGTCTGAAATAGCCGCAAAAGGAGAGGTGAGAAGAAACACTTTTCACAGCCTTTATGTTATTGTTAAAAATATGCACACAGCTTAACGTAATCACACCTCCATTTTCCTAAATCCGTTTTATTCGATCGGCTTCCTCCAGTGCAGTAGCGTCTGCTCAGTTACTCTGTCCCTTATGGCGCATTTCCACTGCAGGGTCTCGCACGGCTTAGTACGGTATAGTTAAGCGTTTGTAGGCCAGGCTCACTTTATGCTGCGTTTCCATTACAGTTTAGTAGCTGGGGCAGTAACTATAGTAACGCAGTGTAGGCGGAGCCGTGACGTCATCTTCAATGCGAACCACAAAACCAACATCAGCCGTTCGCTGTTAGCCCTCAGAGCTCACAGCTCCTCATATCTGTTCAGAAACTAGACGAAAGTTAAACAAGTACAAACCACAGACTGCCTGTGTCATGGAGAATACAGTCGCTGGTTTATTTATGTCTGTAGGCCGTTGTTGTGAGTGTGGACGGTCGGAGCATATACTGCGTTAGCTTAGCCGATCTCCATTCAGAAAACACGCATTTTAAAATCGTATTTTACATTTTCCCACGGTTGTTACGGTAAGATTTGACTGCATCACACATAGGGTTGGGTATCGTTTGGATTTTAACGATTCCGGTTACGCTTTTCGATTCCGGTTCTTTTCGGTTCTCGATTCTGGTTCTTTGAGAGGGTAAAAATAAGTCCCATGACAAACTGGGAGAAAAATATATTTATGAAAACATTAAGTCAAATCAGCCCTCTGTCCACCAGTATCTGTAAATAGGACAGAATAGAGCCCAATATACAAGATAGAGGCTCTAGACTCCTTTCTTCGCACCACCGCTGGAATCCCAACCACTTCGTCCTGTAACAGGCTGTGGTGGATCCTGCTCTTGCTGCCTGGATAGTCTGTATAACTTTGTCAGACAGTCCACCCCGTCTCAGCCTGTCCCTCTCAGGAGCCAAGCCTGGAGAGGTTGGCCCAGAGTGGGTAACGCCCTTATTGCACCTGCTTTCTGTGCTTTGGAGCAATTTTGACATGAAAGTAAGCGTCCTTCAGGTCGATGGTTGGTGAACCAATCGCCTGGCTTGCACCAGTTCCAGTAATTGTTTTATGGTTAACATATGGAACTTTTTGCAGGCAATGTGCTGATTCAGGATGCGAAGATCCAGAATGGTTCTGAATTCTCCTGTCTTCTTGGAAACCAGGAAGTACATGGAGTAAAGCCCCTTTTCTCTGTCCTGAGAGTGCACAACAGACACAGCCTGTTTTTGCAACAGGGCCTGAATCTCTGTTGAAAGGAAACCTATCTCCTCCTGGGATGATAGATTTGCCTCTCTTATGCCCCTGAATGGAGGCAGTCTCAGTGTCCTGTCCATCCACTCTGTCAGTACACAGCTGAGCTTCCATTCCCCATAAAACTGTGTTAAGGGAAATGCAAGCAGCTGTGGAGCAGCAGCTAAGAAGCTGTGGTACTCTCTGGTGGCCCACTCCGCCGCCAAACCTTCCACGAAATGTTTCTTTTTTTCTGTCAGGTGTTGTCTCGCTCGCTGAAGAGAAAAGGATGACAGTCAGGAGGTGTAGCTGCCTTATATACTGTGAGCCTGCGAGCGCATTCAGGTAGGCTCGCCCCTGATTGGCCGGCTACGTTTATATAACTTCAGTGTGTGAACGCTCGCGTATCATTGAGAGTAGTACCCATAGAGTCCACTAGAGGGCAGAGCCTGTGTGAGATAGTACCTCCCTCTGCTGCCTTTTGTCAGCTGCTCCTGTAATATCCTCAATATCCTTCAGATGTTCCTCCAGCAGCCGCAGCGTGTGGACCTTTCCAAAGTTTCCCAGATAATTGCTTAAATGTTTCCGTATGGCTCAATGAGACCCGAGGGTGTTCTTGATCCTCGCAGCGACGACCATGTTCAAAAAGATCAAAGCATCATGCAAATTTCATTATACAGTCGTTCTCGGTGCAGGTCACTTTTGAATTGGATCGGCCTCTGAAGAGATCATAGCTGCACTGACAGCTGGGCTGAGACTTATGATTTAATAAGCACAAGTTGCTGTCACGTTTTCAGAAATATCAAGTTTTTGTGATTTAGGACACAATATTATTTTGTATTAATCTGAAATCACTCCACGTGGCATACCTCCAACCTCCACCGTCTTTAAAAAGTAACAAGCCAATGTGAAGTAGAAACTAAATATTGCCTTTGGGAAAATAACATCGACAATATATTAGATTCTCCAAAATAAGCATCTACCGTAATTTTCGCACTATAAAGCGCACCTGAATATAAGCCGCAGCAGCTAAATTGAATGATGTGTACATATATAAGCCGCACTGGACTATAAGCCGCAGGTGTTTTAATGTTTAATTACCATATCTAAGGGTTCGTGCACAGAGGGGATTGTCGGGAAGAGATGGCTGTTTGAGGAAGCTCCCATTTATTAACATTTCAACAAACAAGTTGCATATTTGCATAACGTATTCAAGTGTTACCATTTAGTGCAATAGTAGCTACAGAACATGTACTGTGCTGTGTAAACTGTACTGTATCACATAGCGTTTCAGACACACAAACTTTTCAACTTTCAAACTTAGGAGAGGTTACGTCTTCTTTGTGTTATAAGATAGGACTGGCAGGGTCAGTCAAACCTGGTCGTTATCCCGCGGAGCTCCTGTCCCGGTCCCTTGCGCTCTCTCGGCCCGGTGTCTACAGGGCTAGCCCGAGGATCCCCCGCTAGCATCCCCCGCTAGCAACAGGCCTTCAAAACAATGTTAGAGGCGCTCCTGAAACAGCGTCAAAACGGGTATATTTCCCGGGCTTTAATATACGCTTTGTTTCACTCGTTTGTTGTTTTGCTCCTCCGTGTTTTCAGAGCAAGTCGTCGGAGCTGTAAAAATCCATAGATTAGCCGCACCCTTATATAAACCGCAGGGTCGAAAAATGGGAAAAAAGTCGCGGCTTATAGTCCGAAAATTACGGTACATTATAACAGAAATTGATGAATAATTCCCAACACAAGTTTTAAAATAAGTTTATTTTAAATGGCTTGTTCAATCAGATCAACACTCCTTCATTTAAAGATATTTAATTTATAAATAATACATTGTAGAGGCTTGTTTTTAAAGGTCCCATGTCATGGCCATTTCTACTGATCATAATTCCATTGTTGAGGTCTACTAGAATAGATTTATATTGTGCAATTTTCCAAACTCACATTGGTTTCTCATACAGCATCTCTGTATAGTATGTGTATTCACTCTCTGTCCTAAACGGCATGTTGGAGCTCCTGCCCCCCCTCCCTGTGAGCCCAGAGTGCTCTGATTGGTCAGCTCGCCCACTCTGTTCTGATGAGTCCACCACCGTTACAGCGGAATATCAGTGTGTATGTGTTACAATGGCGTTAGCAACCAGAAAATTACACCAGTAATGACAAACAGATGAGAATGCTGCGTGGGGTCTGGGTGCCGTGTTGGCGGGACGTTGCGCGGCTCGCTGCTGTGAGGAGCGGACAGTGTGAGCTCTATTACTGGTGTGGTTTCCTGGTTGCTGCGTGGGGTCTGCGAGACACAGCGAGACATCGCGACACTCAGCCTGAATTCAGCCTGCGAGGCTCCACTAGCACCCCCCCAGCGCGTCACAGTTTCGCCGCTGAGAGAGTGTGTGTGTGTGAGGAGCTCCACGGATTGGTCCATTTGGGTATGGTCACGTCACTGTACCCAGGAAGAAAAAGAAAAATCTCCAACGAGGCGTTTTGGGGCAGCATAGACAGGTCTTTTCTGTGTTAGAGATTTACTCGCTACAGGGTGTACTTTGAGGGTTTGTGACTCTGCAGACCGTTTACATGCATAAAAAGCTACATAACACACAAGGGGACGGGTAATAACCGGAAAAGCATGACATGGGACCTTTAAACTTTTTAATAAGTAGTTTCAATTTCAACAAAACAGAGCATTCGATGACATGAGTCCCTCAAAATAGAAAAAATATACATGTATTTAAACGTTTGTTTCTAAATATGTGTAACAGACAAAGAAACGGATATTTACAAAAGGGAGGATGTTTGCAAATTGTCCGTCACACATGAACATGACACTGGACACAGTTTTGTTACAGCACCCTCTTTTTAATCAATTAAAGGATCTGCAGTGTCTTTCTCTTTAACAACAGATCCTAACAAAACAATCAAAGGCTGATTCTTTTTTATCTTTTTGTCAATTTCTTCTCTAAAAACAATCAAATCCCTGGAGATATTAGGCAAAAGCTACATCCTCTGAAGGTCTGTGCTGTACCACTAATCACCAGCTAGTGTCAGTAAAGCACCAATAAATACATGTATGCCAGTGTTCCAGCAGAGTGTGTGACTGACAAACAGAATAGTTGATCTAAAGCCGTACCTTGTCTCCAAATGTAGCTCAGCACTAAAGTTGAGTGTATTTTTTTACTAATTTCCGTGTGTGTGTGCAGATGGTGTACCACAGCCTGCAGCTGCTGGCCTTCGCCGTCCTGGCCGTCCTCATCATGCGTCTGAAGCTCTTCCTCACGCCACACATGTGCATCATGGCCTCGCTCATCTGCTCCAAACAGGTCTGTCTCTAACCCCCAGTCAAGGGTGTTGTTTTAACAAAAACCATGTGCTCTATTTAAAAAGTGTGTTTTCATCTCAGTGTAGTCATTACCTCTTCATCTGATTAAATAACCAGTATGTACGGTGCATTTTAATAAGGGTTATCAGTTTGTTAGGCACACATTTAGTCCCTCAGTTGTGTTTTTTCTCTTGTTGTCTCCCTTTATAGAGATTATATATAGAAAATATAGGTATAACGGTTGTTTTTGTTCTGTAGCAGAGGCTAGGATGACCGTTTAATACATCATGTTGTATAACTCTGTAATGAATTGAATTACAGGTCATATTATTGATAATATCACTTATTTTTAAAAGTTATTTAAAATAAAATGTTTTTTTTTTTTAAATCTCTCACTCGAGCTCTCTTTTGAATAACTTGGGTACTTGGGCGTATATATAAAAACATGTATAAAAAAGTGTTACGGTTGCTTTCTGTTCGGCAAAGAGGATTAGATGCTTTAAAGGGGACCTATCATGCAAAATGCACTTTTTTTATACATAAATATGTGTCCCTGGTGTGACAGGGAACTCACACAGCGTCAGAAAATAAAACCCTCTCTTTTCCTCCGTACCCAAATCTCTAAAAACGGGGGTACAATAGGCACGTTCACACCAAGTACTTTGCCGTATTTAGTGCCGGCACTCAGTGCCCCGGCACTTATTACCCCAGGGCATTTAGTACAGATCGCGTTCACACCGGAGTACTTTTCCCTGAGGGAAGATTACGCAAATGAGCCGCGAACGTCACTTCGTCTTCTTCTGCTTTGGGTTTACTGGCAGGCCGCAAACAACTTCACGGCGTATACTGCCACCCGGAGTCCCCGGCCGGAAGTCCCCGGAGTTGGGGACTGGCCAGAACGCCGACACCTCCTCATCTCCACCGCTCCCATGTTTTATTTTGTGTTGCCATAAGTTAGTCTCTCTGCGTTTGTGCACTGGGCGAATGCTAATAATGCTAATGCCAGGATAATAAAATGGCGGCTCTACAAAACATTTCAGAGTTGTACGGGGCGTGGTTTGCAATTCGCCCAGCCAATCAGAACTGGGGCACTTTTTTCCCCCAGGAAAGTACCATCTCTCAGCAGGCACTAAAAATGGGGGTAAAAGTTCTCGAGATGAAGTGCTTTTTTTGGTGTGAACGCGACATAAGGGGTACTAACGTAATATGGTCGGTGTTTACATTAGCATCGCTAACACTCAGAGCTAACCTGTACTGGAGAGCATGTGTGTGAAGAAGCAGGAAATAAAAAGGAACTCACCTTGTGGTATAACCGGCGAGAGAGAAAGCCTTTGAGCTCCATACTGTTTCAGAAATACTCCTTGATCTAATAATCCTTGCGTTTCATCACCGCAGCATTTTAGACAGTATCTGCCAGGTCCCGCATGAGCCGGCATAGGCTCCGCCCCCTCTTATTTTTTTCAGTTTAAAAAGAAAATAAGCTTTATTTAATTTTTTTAGCCTTTATTTATACAGGTGAAAATCTAATTGAGACACAGGGTCTCATTCTCAAGAGAGACCTGTTTATTCCCAGAATCAGCACTTTTGTAACAGGAAGTGAAATAGAGGGATATGAGGCATGGCTAGAATGGGTGATCTGTGATCCAAAACACTTCATAGACATGTTTTTTGTATTTTTTTATATATCTGAGACCTATGCTATTGCCTAAAAATAGCATGATAGGTGACCTTTAATATATATATTTTTATAGATAAAGAAAGTCTGCAATAATATGCAATATTATCAACAGTTGTTGTTTTTTAATCTCTTGCTCTTTTGCTCTCTATTAGTTTTGCTCTACAGTTTCTTTTAGTTCTGCAGCAGAGGATAAGATGAACTTTTAATATATCTTTTTGTTTAGATAAATGTGACTGAGTTTTTATTTAAAATGTGGTCTGTTATGAATTGAATTAAGGGTCACATGATTGACACTGAACATTTATTTTAAATACTTTTCTCCATCTCTCTTTGTTGTGCCAGTTGTTTGGCTGGGTCGGGGACAGGTTTAAACACCAGGTGGCGGTGTTTGCGGTCATGGCCATCATGGCGGTGCAGGGCGTGGCCAACATGCAGGCGCAGTGGGCGATCATCGGAGAGTTCAGCAACATGCCTCAGGAGGAGCTGCTGGACTGGATCCAGGAAAACACCCCGCCTGGTGAGTGAAGGATCAATAAACCTTAGGAACGGGCACTTCTATAATTGTATCAATTTATATTTAACGCTTATTATTAACTATTTAATTATTAAGCAATGGAGTTTGTTGGCAACTTCCATGGTTGTAATACGTGTGTTTTAATGCCCATAAAATAATAAAATGAGAGTTAAAAAGCAGAACATTTGAAAAAATATATCGGGATATCAAACAAATGTGACAATGTGCTTGGGATATTTTACGTTACACATAAAGCATGTGACTTCAAACGTCCACTGAAGCTTCTGCTACGCCGATGAGATGATTAAATGGTAGAATATAAACAAATTCACCTCACTGCTCCACATAGATCTGATGTGACCTTCACGCGTTGTTTTTCACTGTTTAAACTTCCTCTGGTGCTCTTTGAATTGCTTCATCATCTCTTCTGCAATGGTTTAATGTTTTTTTTCAAAATGGAGAATTTGCGCCACCTGCTGCTTAACTCGATACACTAAAATGAAATGTATGTTATTGTCTTGTTCACTAGAGATACCATTTGAACATACACCCGTCAGCCAATTAGAAATAAGTATTTTCCATGGCTTACGTTATTAAACCGTACAAAGTAGAGAAATATAAAAAAGGAAGGTGGTGTAGAAACTCAACAACATTGTCTTGTTTTTGTGTGTGACTGATGCAGATTCTGTGTTTGCCGGAGCCATGCCCACCATGGCCAGCGTGAAGCTCTCCACAGGGCGGCCCATCGTCAACCACCCCCACTACGAAGACGCTGGTCTGAGGTCAGTGAAACTCACAGCAGCCCAACTGCTGAATCGGCCTCAGTAAATTCTAAAAGTATAATCCAATATGGCCCACAAATGAAACCTGTGCTTGTCTTATATTGTACTTCTTAAATATAAATGTAAAATATATTACACAGCAGTATTCATGTGTTAATAAGCCCATTTTTCTAATAAATTCAGTCAATTAAAGTTGGAAACATTTTCTAACATATCTTAGTTGATTAAAAAAAGGCCCAATGACTTATTTACCTTACAAGCTTGAAATACACCCTTCATATTTCCCCTTATTATAAGCAAACTGAGGGATGAGCTGCCAACAAAATAAATGAAACCCTAAGGAGAGCTGTGATGTAGGCTGTTTTTTTCTTAAAGTGGACCTATCATGCTATATTTGAATAATATAGTGTAGGACCATACCTATATAAGGCATATTTATACTTTTTTTTTTTTTAAACACGTCATTTGCAGGAAACAACGTCTAAGGAATCTTAATATTTAATAAAACTATGAATGTTTTATATCCATGTAACGGGAAGAAACTCAGCTAACTGATCTTTTTAATTTTTTTTTTCAAAAAAAACCCACAATGCTAGCACTCAGCCTCTGAATTAGCCACGAGCGAAAAAATTTAACCTAAAACGGCACTTAAACTCACAATAACTCCCTTATTACTTATCCTAGATGCACAGCCAACCACTCGTTTTTGGTGTCCTGGAGACACTGAATCTAGTGGTGCCCACCTCAACACTCATCATAACATGTGGAGCTAAGTAGCTAGAAACGCTAACATGGCTTACCTTGGTCAAAACTGGTCTTCAATGGCATTAAAACGATAAAAAAAAACGATGCTGCAGTTAATCCATAGGTTCATCCAATGTATCTGTATTTCTGATAATCCATAAGCAATAAAACTGCTTTTTTGTTTCCAAATGCCAGAGCTAGAATGTAGCTCCACTCTGCTTTACATTTACATGCGCACAGCCCCCACCTTTTCTCTTTACAATGAGTGTGTATGTGGGCCTCCCCCTTCGATTCTATTGGCTCTAACGGTCAGAAAGAGGTGTCAACCATCAAAATCGAGCAAGGGGGGCCAGAGATATGTAAAAAAAAACATTTTCACCCAAATCACCTCAGAGGTGGGGTGGTTTTGGCTAAACCTCTCTAAAAAGGTCAAATGTCACTTGTTTTACATCAATCTTGATACAGGGGTACTTATTATATGTTGTACTTTGGATTCCTAAAGCTTTTAGTCTACTAACCCATCATCCAAGGGTAGTTTTCACTATCTGTAAAAAATAATTTTTGGACGGACACTATAATTTACAGTTTTTTACTATGTAAAATCTGAATTTTCTTTAAAATAAAAAACATTTATATTGATTCTGACACTTCTACATCCAACTCACAGATGTAACCTTGCTTTGATAAAAGAAATTATTCATATAACCCTTTTAGAAGTTAAGTTGTAGTCATTTGTTTTGGGCATGTCATTTTCGAGCCTGAAACATGAAAAACAGGCTTGGTGCTTAACAGGTTAACACAAAAAACATTAATCATCACCACATTTCATTTAACACCCTTTCAAACTGTACATATTGTATCAGACTACTGGTATACATGAAAAACTGCAGTAAATATTAGGGCTGTCAAGTTAACGCGTTAAACGCAATTTCTTTTTAACGCCACTAATTATTTTAACGTGCAATTAACGCATGTGTATTTGTCCTCGGCCCGCCCCGTAGTTTCAGAGCCCAAAGGCTTGACGTTGTTGTTGTTGTTGTTAGTTGGATGGTGGGAGATTCTAGCGAGAGATATGGATACAAAAAAAGGAGTTTTAAACAGCAAGCAAAGCACACAGCTGATGCTGACAGCCCCGCTCCTGCCGCTCGCTTGTGGCAGACCACGGAGGATGAGGGGCTGCGTTAGATCATTCAGATCGCATCCAACGTGTCGACTGCACATCACATTATTTTGACCCACAGTGGGAACGTCTCATGCTTTGAAGACAGAGGAGCGGCATTTTGCCGACAACTGTAAACAGGCTTGTCTGTTTGAGCAACTGGCTCAGTGCAAAGAAGTAGACAGGGTTGGGAGAGAGTGTAAGAGAGAGAGAGAGGTTCCAGGTTGTTGTGTTGAGAATATTCAGGAGAATATTTGTCATTGTTCCAATGATAATAAACAAACATTTGCATAAAGCATATTGTCCACTCATATGTTTGAGTAAGAGTATTAAAAACTTGAAAAATATTCCTCTAAGGTACATTTAGAACAGATAAAAAATGTGCGATTAATCGCGATTAACTATGGACATCATGCGATTAATCGCGATTAAATATTTTAATCGACTGACAGCCCTAGTAAATATACAAAGAATAGACACTGAACATGTATTGCGTGTGGCCAGGTGTGATCCATGGGGGGATGGCACATAGAGCGGGAATGTGTCAAATTGTTTGTGTGTGTGTGGTGTGTGTGTGTGTGTGTGTTGTGTGTGTGTGTGTGTGTAGTGTGTAGTGTGGTGTGTGTGTGTGTTGTGTGTGTGGTGTGTGTGTGTGTGTGTGTGTGTGTGTGTGTGTGTGTGTTGTGTGTGTGTGTGTGTGTGTGTGTGTGTGTGTGTGTGTGTTGTGTGTGTGTGTTGTGTGTGTGTGTGTGTGTGTGTGTGTGTGTGTGTGTGCCAGGTGTGTGTGTGCCAGGTGTGATGGGCACATAAGGTGGGGGGGAACACATCTAGAGTATGTGTGGGTGTTTGTGTAAAACCAAAAAGTTATGATTGATGAAAGTAGTAAAACGGTCAGATTTGACCCGAAGACAACAGGAGGGTTAAACGATGAAGGAAAAAACACTTTCAACCAAAGGATACTAAAGATACGCCACATTGCTACAAATCTTTTGTTAAACGTTTTTTATTCACTATTATTATTTTTGATATTTTTTAAATAAACAGATGATGACTTAATTTGATGCAAATTGATCTACTGACCATTCAGAAATTAATACAGTAATTGAATATATATATTATTCAGAAATGGGCCATTACGCTTAAATAATGATTTGACTTTTGCACCTTTACGGCCCGTCCACACAGCAGCGTTAAAAAAATCTTGGAGGTGGGCGTATCTGAAGCTTGGGGATTTTTTGCGAGCAAGGCACCAACAACCAATCACATGAATCTCCCGCCCCCGACATACGAAGCAAAAAAGTTTGAAGTAAACTGGATATAAACTCCCCAAACAGGCGAAAACCTACCACTGTCTCTGCCACCTCCCTCCATGCCTGGCTCCTCCGGTTTATATCCCGGTAGGTAAATAGGGACTGGTCATAAAGCACCGGGTGATTCCCTACCGCTAATTTCTCCTCCATTTTTTGGAATATGAGGAATGACCTGCAGTATGTCTCTCCCAGCATACACGCGGTTTGATTGGCTAGCGCTTGAACTGTCAGATTTGCATACACAGGATTTGATTGGCTGACGCTTCCACCTCAGCTTCAAAAGTTGAACATTGCTCAACTTTGAATCCTGAAAATCTCCGCTCGCCTGCCCACAATGCAGTTCGGCGAAAAGTGAGGCAAAGTGACGTCACCCCATTCAAAGTGAATGGGCAGAAGCGTTTCAAGATTTTTTTTACGCTGCTGTGTGGACGGTCCGTTACTGAAGCACGATTTAAAATGCAGCACTTTAACTGGTAACAAAGTGACTTCACAATTGTATTTGTATTGGTACTTCTTACACCTCTGTACTGCTATACTTTGCATGTAGTTGTTCTCCAACTTGTGCACCGTATCAATGCTTTATGGTGCTCCTTGCAGGGAGAGAACCAAGCTGGTGTACTCCATGTACAGCCGCATGTCTGCAGACACAGTGAAGGGGAACCTGGTGACGTTGGGGGTGGACTTCTTCGTCCTGGAGGATTCCTGGTGCACCCGGAGAACCAGGTACCTCCACACCACCAGAGCCCTCTCACAGGAAGGGGGACTTTTCAACCTGTTTTCTGTCATATTTTATTTTATAATATGATAACACTGTATTGCAAGATAAAGTCTGGAATCTTTCCTGCAACATCAACAAAGAATAAGATTTAAGGGAAGTGTTCAGAGACTCAACAAACATTACAATCACAGAAGATAATATTTCAGAAACAGGTTTATTACCAGGTAGGTTACACGTATGAGGAATCTGACTTGGTGTCTAGGTGCATAAAAACAAGAATTAAAAACACAGGAAGAGAACTAAAGAAATATTAAAAGTAGGGCTGTCAGTCGATTAAAATAGTTAATCGCGATTAATCGCAAATTAATCGCACATTTTTTATCTGTTCTAAATGTACCTTAGAGGGATATTTTTCAAGTTTTTAATACTCTTATCAACATATGAGTGGACAAATATGCTTTATATGTTTGTTTATTATCATTTGAACAATGACAAATATTCTCATGAATATTAAACACAACAACCTCTGAACATTACAAATATTCGCTTCAATTCAACCTGGAACCTCTCTCATACAATAATTGTGTGTGTGTGTGTGTGTGTGTGTGTGTGTGTGTGTGTGTGTGTGTGTGTGTGTGTGTGTGTGTGTGTGTGTGTGTGTGTGTGTGTGTGTGTGTGTGTGTGTGTGTGTGTGTGTGTGTGTGTGTGTGTGTGGTGTGTGTGTGTGTGTGTGTGTGTGTGTGTGTGTGTGTGGTGTGTGGTGTGTGTGTGTGTGGTGTGTGTGTGTGTGTGTGTGTGTGTGTGTGTGTGTGTGTGTGTGTGTGTGTGTGTGTGTGTGTGTGTGTGTGTGTGTGTGTGTGTGTGTGTGTGTGTGTGTGTGAATGAATGTGGAGACACTGATGGATCGTTGGAGCTATGTGCGGCTCAAGGCATATATGCTCGAACGTGTGCTGCCTGGACGCTGCAATCATGGAGCGCGTGCTGACTTTTCGTACAATGTCCCACTGTCTGGCTACCTGCATGAAGTCAAGTGCTCGGCGCAGTTGTCGGCGAAATGTCATTGAAACAGCTCCTTATATCCGTTAGCGCAGCTAGCTAGCACCAGATGCTAACAACAACAACAACAACAACAACAACAACACGTAAGGTGTGCCTCGCTCGCGCGAGTCGCCCCACACATACACACTCCCTCTCCCGGTCCTCCCGATGGCCAGTCCGGGCCTGCCGGTGAGCGTGGAAGTGTGGTCTGCCACAAGCGGGCGGCAGGAGCGGGGCTGTCAGCATCAGCTTGTAGATGGTATTTTAAACTCGATGCGCTCTGAAACTACGGCGGCCGAGGACAAAAAATGCACATGCGTTAATCGCGTTAAAATAATTAGTGGCGTTAATTTTTTTTTGCATTAACGCGTTATTAACGCATTAACTTGACAGCCCTAATTAAAAGTAATACAAAATATATAGTATAATATAACAGTATTTACACTGCATTTGATCTGGGGTTAAACTCTGTATTTTATTTTATTTTATTTTATTTTGCACTAAAGAGGAAATATTATGCAAATGTTCAGGTTCATAGTTCTATCTCCTCTAATGTGGCACAAAAACCTTTATATCACACTACAGAAGAGGGGAACCCCTACAAGCATAATAGGGCCTCTTTAACTGGTGCCGGAAAGAGTGTTTCTGTATGGTTAAATCATGGCACCCTCTGTTCTGTATTTGATGGTAACCACTCATGTCTGCATTTTAGGACATGGTTATGTATATATATTATATATAATCATTTAAACAATCTAAATTGACTTGAATTTCAGGACAAATAGTGTGTCATTCTCATTAACTTTGTCTTCCTTTCTCTTTGCTCAGGCCCGGGTGCAGCATGCCAGAGATCTGGGACATTGAGGATTCCCAAAACGTTGGTAAAGTTCCCCTTTGCACCCACATGTCCAGAAGCTCACGACCCCACTTCACCACAGTCTTCTCCAACGACATCTACAAAGTTCTCAAAGTCTCCAAAGATCTCAGATAACACCGTGAGATGGACTAGTTCAGCACCTGTTGATCTTTCACTAGGTTTTGATCAGTCACTGACATTGCTGCTTTTTACTCGAAGCCCAACAGTTCCCCCTCTTTGCGGTGCTTTGATTCACTGAGCGGTTGGACATTTCGCCCTGACTTCTCAGTATCTGTGGACTGTTGCCAACCATCTTTACTGTTGCATTGTTTTCATACAGCAATGTTTCTATTACGCCAAAAGGTTTCCTAGCTTTTTATTGTTCCCTTGGTTCTGTCATATAGAATTTGTACTTTCGGAAACAGTGTTTTCAAAGACATGCTGTTCATACATCAGTATTATTTCTTAATGTTAGGAATTTATTTTCTTTGACTTTGGCTTAAGAAGTACATTTTGTCTGGCAGGCCCAATCATTGATGTCCACATACTGTGAAGCAATACCCTTTGCAAACTTGACAAAATCTGACTTCTTCTATTGTTCTGCACAGTGTTGATCTGGGGAAAGATTCTTCTGTAGTACGCTATTTTTATAATGTATTTGTGTGTAAGTATTTTTATGCAAAAGTTGTTGAAATGTTTCTTTAGAGGCCAGCAGTGTTTAAAGAGTCTTTGGAAAATGATGTTCCCATGTTTGGAAGCTTTGAAATACAATTTCTACTGCATATCATTCAGCTTTCAGCAGGCAAACTTTCATTCCTAATCCAGTTATAAAATGACAGAAAGAGTTGTGTTTTTTTATGGCAAAACAAGTAGACTGCCTCTAACTGTGCCCTGTCAGAACTTTTTTGTAAATACCCAAACTTTTTGTAAAATTCAACTGTATGGCCTTAACAAGGTTCTCTTTCTTTCTTATTGTATTTCTTTGCCAAAGGAAGTCTTGTTATTAAAGCTGTGTATTTGGGTTGCTGTAACGGTTAGTGATCAAAAGCTATCAGTTAGTAGGTTTTGTAAAAGTCAACTCAACCTATTTGTAGCAGTAGATTTCATGTAAATGGTAGCAGTCGTTGGTTCCTTCTTCGTGGCACATTAATGACCATTCAATATTTAATGAAATAGGTTTTATTGCTTTCTTCCCGAGATGTACTAATGCACTCACTTAGGTATCCCTCTCCCAGCTATGGGATAGCCAGCTGACAGCTAGCTGACAGCCAACTGACAGCCAACTGACCGCTAGCTGACAGCCAACTGACAGCCTGCTGACAGCTAGCTGACAGCCAACTGACAGCCAACTGACAGCCAACTGACAGCCAGCTGACAGCTAAATTCCACTGTAAAAAAAAAACATTAATTCAATTGCAGGCTTTCCCCATGAGAGGGCGCTTTCTACAGAAAAACACATAAGCGGCTCAGGCATACAGAGGAAACTGGTCTTTGTTTGGGCCTCCAGACATACATTAGTTGTTTGAACTTTAATATTGTCTGTGGCCCTTCAGTTATCAAGATACCACTCTTACAGACATGATGGGGATTGATCTTCTGATCTAACTTTGGGTAAGAAAGCTTTCAGATGTCTTTCATAATATTTGTCTATTTTGTCTGTATTTAAAAAAAATAAAAAAAACCTGCCTTCAGAACCATTGCTTTCACTGTTCTTAAATGATTGATAGAAAAACAAAAAATATCAGTTGTTTTCTTATGAGATAAGACAAGCACATTCGCAGAAGGTGTACAAGTCCCGTGTAAAAGCAAAAGTCAAGGCAGACTTTTGTTGCAATCTCCACCAGTAAATCTTGACGTCATTTTATTTTAGATGCTTTGTGTACACATTACAGCATCTTAATCATTTACATTGAATGTGTGACTGCAGGAACCGTCCAGTGCAGAGCCAAACACCTCCACCTCACAGAGGGTCAGGGCCTCCTGTCTTTCAGGGATACCTATGTAAACATAGCGGCCGTCCATCCCGTTGGCAACCCGGAACTCAGCAGTTTCACCTGCCGGGATGCTGGTGATTACAGCAAACCTGAAGAAGAAGCAGAAATCACTACATTAACCTCAGGAAGGGTTTATTGAAGTAATAGGCTTTTCATTTTAAGTTCAACATGCACTCAAAGCGTCATTAGGTTTCTACGCTTTACTTGGTTAGAATGTTGGTTGCAGATTTTTTAATTAGGGCTTGATAATGAACAATATTTATATTTCAGTAATGTTTAAATAAATGTTTTCAAATCATGTCACAGAATCACAATTGACGACCCTCGATCAGGCCTTTAATTTGGCGACCTTGGTATTTGTCCATTTCTGTGATCAGATCAGAACACATTGCAGGAATCATTCATAAATGAAGGGTATTCCCGCTCCAATCCTATTTCTTGGCAATGTAAGGATTGTTAATCCAAAATGTGACCAGGTAAACTTGAGAGAGAAAAACTGAATAATTGTTCCTCAAACGTGTTCCAACAAAATACCAATTTAGTGACTTTTTAATATTAGTATTGTTATAGGACAGGCTCTAAGTTACCTGGGATTGTCAGCACCATGGTTTCCAAGAGAATCTCCAATGCGGATCTCGGCTCCATTGAGTCGTTGGTGGACTTCATATCGGTTGGTTATCTTAACAGAAAACACTTTGTGTGTTTTGGGCAGAGCCAGCCTCCACCAGGGGTTCCTTTCCTCGGCTGTGGAACTGCAGGAACCCTTAGCCCACTTGCAGGCCCGATTCCCATCAATGGCCTTATATGCATTGGCAGCCTGATACACTGATGACTGTGCGGCTTTTCCTTGAATGGCCAGGTTACATTCTGCAACAAAAAAACAAAACAAAGATTTAGGTTAATTCAATAACATGTATGACTCCTGATGCAGATTGTTTTTATTATACTGTTTCACCATGACTCTCAAAAGATTTGATTTAATTTGCCATCAGGATGAAGGACATAAAAGGGATAACCCCACCATATATAAACAAATAACTACCATATATTATTTGTTATTGGAAAATAGGAATTAAAGTAATATTAAACTGTAGTCTATAATATATTGAGTCTATTGTTAAAGTTATATATAACTACAACTGCACTAAGTTTAACTAAATGTCAGTTTTGGCAAATTAAACTTGAAATAAAATAAGACCTGTTTTAGTAATCATAAGTGACATGAAAGGCTGGTACATCCTTTCTCTTTTTCCTATTAATGGGACCATATTTTACAACTTGAACATCATGCTGGATTGAAGAAGACTTGAAACTAACAATTGAGATCATAAACTAATGGGTACACTCTTTCCAGCAGTAATACATCAAGTGAATTGCAGGAAAAAATGTTATAGACTTTTCATCACACATTATTTATGTAAGATCCCAAACCCTCACCAGTTGGGGCATGGTACCCGTAGACTTCCACCTCACAGAGGGTAAGGACCTTTCTATAACCCGGTATACGCACAGTCACATAGCGTCCCTCCACACGATGAGTCAAAGTCAGAGTGTACAATTACTTTATTGTAGAAATTTATGAACCCTAAAAGAAAGAGAACAAAAGTGAGAAAGAAAGAAGAACATGAATGACATGTTATACCCCTAAGGCTTCAACAGTTAGATAAAAGGTAACTGGTAATTTCATCATAGACTGCTAGAAGCTGCTGGGACTCCCAGCAGCTTCTACTGAAGCCTTCCGAGTAAATCGCCAGAACGCCGACACCTCCTCATCTCCACCGCTCCCATGTTTTGTTTTGTGTTGCCATAAGTTAGTCTCTCTGCGTTTGTGCGCTGGGCGAATGCTAATGCTAATAATGCTAATGCCAGGATAATACAATGGTGGCTCTACAAAACATTTCAGAGTTGTACGAGGCGTGGTTTGCAATTCGCCCAGCCAACCAGAACTGGGGCACTTTTTTCCCCCAGGAAAGTACCATCTCTCAGCAGGCACTAAAAATGGGGGTAAAAGTTCCCGAGATTAAGTGCTCTTTTTGGTGTGAACGCGACATAAGGGGTACTAACGGAACTAAACGCGAAAAGTACGGTGAAAAGTACTCCGGTGTGAACGCGGCTATTGGCACCATGACCTTTCAGAGAAACATTCCTCACACACAGAAACAGCAGAGATGATGTGCGGCTGCTCGGGATGAAGAGAGATTAGCGCTCACTGCTGCTAATCAAATGAAAGAGCAGAAATATGGTATTAGGTGGGAGAAATAATTGAGTTAGTGGAGCTATTGAAGGACACCGGCGGCTACAGCTGAGGCTCAATGCTGAGTACAGTGAGGCACAAACATGGTGTCCTTTGTTTCAACACAGAGGACCATTTGGGGCAGGGGAGAAAGGTCGGAGGCAGGGTGGAGAGTTCAGGGGAGAGATGTCAGAGAGGGGGAGGGAGGGAGGGGAGAGAGTTCAGCATCCTGACCGCCTGGTGGAGGAAGCTGTTGCCCAGCCTGGAGGTGCGCGAGCTGAGGCTGAGGAACCTTCTTCCTGAAGGCAGGAGGCTGAAGAGGCTGTTGGAGGGGTGGGTGGAGTCACCCGCAATGCTGAGTGCTTTGCGGGTGAGGCGGGTGTTGTATATGTCTTGTAGTGAGGGGAGTGAGGCACCGATGATCCTCTGAGTTCACTATGCGCTGCAGGCTCATATCTCTGGCCCCCCTTGGTCGATTTTGATGAATGAAATCTCTTTATAACCGCTAGAGCCAATGGAATCGAGGGAAAGTTATATACACAACAACACGTTAACAAATAAGGAGTGAGAGTGACGCGTGACCAAAACCGGAAGCTGCATACACTCTGGTGGCTACCATAAGCAGCTAACTTTTTCGCTCCGATTTTTACATAAAAATTGAATTATGGATTATAAATAATTGTTTCAAAGGCACAGATACATTATTAACCTATGGATCAACAGTTGTAGCCTTTTTTTTTTTAGATTGACAGCTACGGTGAGACGATCTCCCGTAAAAGCTCCGTAAAGGTACGTGTTGTGATGTCTGTGTTTGCTTCCCCTGTCGCAAGTTCGGATCACTCAGTGATGATACTATACCTATTATAATCTGTGGAGTCTCAGCTTTAATCGGATATGTTGTATGTGCAGCTACGATAAGTAATAAGGGTATCTTTATCTTGAGTTGTGTGCTAAAGTGCGTTAGCATTTTTTCGCTTAGTGCTAATTCAGAGGCTTGGTATTACCCTTGTGTTTTGTTTTGGTAAAAATTGTTCATATCTTCAATTAGCTGAGATTTTCCCGTTAATCTGGTACTACACATTAATAGTTTCATAAATGTTAAGAAGCCCTGAGAAAAAAACGGTGGGGGGGGGGGGGGGGGTCCACTGGGGGGACCGTCATCCTTAAGAGGTTAAAAAAAGAGTCAAATTCTGAGAAAAGGGCACATTCTAAGAAAAAAGGCATATTTGATATGCATTGTGGGACATGTAGTTTATGGGCAACATGCTTCTGTAAATCATCAAGTAACCGTATAATAAACATATAATATTCTTTGCAAGCTCTTGTGGGGCCACAGAAAATGAAGTCACGGGCCGGATTTGGCCCCCGGGCCTTGAATTTGACACCCCTGGTTTACATGCATAAAAAGCTACATAACACACAAGGGGACGGGTAATAACCGGAAAAGCATGTCATGGGAACTTTAAGTAACAATGAGAACATGTTTTAAGAACTCATTTATAAATTAATAGTCATATTTGCTTTAATCACAGAGTGATAACGGCAGTGATCCAACAGTTTAATTTAACTAGGATTTAGTTTATCACATTGACATATATATATTATATATTATATATATATTGTCTCATAGCTACAAATGCAAGAGAAACATATGTTTATATGATGCCGTGTGCAGAGGTGGGAAAAGTACTCGGATCTTCTACTTAAAGGGGACCTATCATGCAAAATGCACTTTTGTACGTCTTTTATACATGAATATGTGTCCCCGGTGTTCCAGGGAACTCACCAAGTGTCAGAAAACACAACCCTTTCCTCCATACCCAAATCTCTAAAAACGGGGCTGCAACGGATCTGATACAGACTGATACAGATTTGAAATTTCTCTGACGTCAGGAACGAGGAGCTCCGCCTATATGGCCAACTCTCCACCTATCAGGGGAATGTGGGGTTGGGCCACGGCCGGCCATTGCCGCTCGTAAAGCGCTGGAGACGCTGTAGTACCTATGCCAGGCCTGTAAGTGGCGCTGTAGTCTGCCACAAAAGCAGCGAAGAAGACTTCCCGCGCATGGTTGCCATGGTTGCCCTTCTGTTTATTCTCCGCTGTGTCTTTTTTTCTCCCTCCCCGAGGCAAGCGTTTGCTCCCGCTGCTTTAATTCAATGCAATCCCTCCCCGTCGAGGCAAGCACTGTAATTCTCTCCGGTAGTCCACCAGCAGATGACAAACACCCACCTCTCCGCCTCTTCCAAGGAACGAGGGGACCGTGCGGCAGAGTTTCAGTTAGATTTTTTTCCGCCGGTCAACATGTCCGTTAAAGGCTGGTGCCCCACGGGAACGCATACGGCAAAACGCATAGGATTAACGCAAACGCAATCGCCAAAAAGCTTCCGTCCACACGCAATATACACCGGATAGTGTCTGTTCACACGAGACAGCTCCGTTTAGCTCCAACCGCTGGAAAAAGCT